AAAAAATATATGTTTTTAACATGATTTCCTTTTCTGCTTCCCAACTCTAAACAGGCTAAAAAACCATAATAAACTAAAGCTAAGTGGTAGAGAAAGATGTTTCAATAAACATTTTGTTTCTCTGAACTTTGTGTTGCCTCTGCATTAATGGTGCATTCATACAAACATACAGATGCACACACACACACACACTCACAAGCTGCTCTAAATGCTTCCTGCTTCACTTAAGAAGAAAAAGCTCATCCATTGACTTTTTCCCGCTACATTAACCAACCTTGCCTCCAGGTTTATGCCCCACTTTTCTCATCCTTCCATCACAACTGTTTTTTTTCGGGTGTTTTTTTTTTACAATTTACATCCAGAGGTTGAGCAGCAGCTGGACAATAAAAGCATCTTAAAAGGACACACTCCCACAGTGTTTATGTTAGTGAGCTCTGAGCAGCAATCAAAGTGAAGAGTAAAGAGGCCAGTTGTTTTGGTGGCAGGCCAGGTTTGTGTTCCTCCATCTATCTTCGGCTGTCACTGTTAAAACGACTTCAGGATAGCCAGGGCACACGTTGTGTATGTCTGTGAGCGTGTTCATGACAATGTATCCACGAAGCCTGGCTCTGGAGGGGTTTAAAACACAGCTTAATAACACAGTTTCTCCAAACAAGTTGTTAAGATGAGCAGATTAGGCATTAGGACAGGGAACATGCCAAGGCCGAGGATGAAAGGCTGCTGTAGACTTCTTACCAATGACTAATGACACGCTATCACTTCAGAAGAAGAAATAAACTGATGCCGTAATGGCAGATAATAATGGGACAACTCCTCTTTCTTACAGTTTGTAACCTTGAGTGGTCGAGCGGTTACTTCAGATTCAAAATCAAAGTTGGAAGGTTTCAAAGGGGAAGGAAGGAATAAATGTTGCAAGGTGGATTTTGTTCTATGGGGTGAATTGTATATACCTACAGCACAGAATTGGTAATCTTCTCACAGCCACAAAAAAAAAAATTCACAAAACCGACACTGTAGTTAGAATTACACAGAAATAGAGTGTTGAGTGAAAAATCACAGGAAGAAATGTCCCTCTTTGGTTAAACAGTTTTTTTCTACCAAGTTAATTAAACTTCCCCATAACTTAAAAAATATGATACTTTGTATCCCAACGTTATGTTGTTTGAAGTTGGGGAAATAAAAATAAGAAATATAATGAAAATGAGTTATTTCCAGGTAACTGTACATACATAATTTAGCTTTAGAAGAACTTAAAAATAAAAAAATGAAAGGAATAGATAAAGCAAAACACAGAGGTTTCAAATGGCAGTAAAGCCACATCCTCCTGTCATATTCTGACACAAACACTCTCCAGCTTCATCTGCGGTAAGACACCCATCCTCATATCTCTTCAATCACACATACTTTCATCTGCATGCCTTTCAACAAGGATTATTTCATGCACACAAGGGAATTCCTTTCTTGCTCACACACACACACAAACAGTGGTTTTGGATTTGCAGGGAGATTTGAGGCTGCAGAGCTGCGGTTGGAACACTCCTATATGAACACGCCGCGAACACTTGAATCTGTCACAGCACAAATGAATAGAAAATAAAAATCTAAATACCGGCGCTCACTCTGCGAACAAGTGTGATAACGATGTATCCACAATATTTTGTATATTTCATGTAACAAAGATTTAGTCACCCATCCCATTCTGTGACCAGTTCCTTTGGCTAGGTTACTGAAAATCGTTCTTTTTTGTTAATTTTTCTTAAATTAGTTTTTAAAAAGGAATAGTTTGGCAGGTTAGAACTATGGGATCCGAGTTTTACATGTGTGATTTGAAGAGTTTATGGCCCATCAGATGGACACACAAATTGTTATGAAATTAGACTGAAACAGTTATATCATACAAGATGTGTATCCTGTTGTGAGGGAGGACACACTGCAGTAATCCTGCTAAGAGGACAGATAGAGGTTTATTGTGTCTGGAACATGCTGGTTTGTCCTCGCCTCTTGTTGATGTGACGGCAGATAACAGCCCGTCTGAATGCTACTTGTTAGAGGATGAAGCCACCCTTATCACGCACACATGCAATCCCAGAGTGTCCATCCATCTACCTGTGATCTAATCTGCTCCGTCTCAATGGCCCCCACTCCCTTTCTAAGTGCCTTCAGTTCAGCCCGCCCTGATGAATAGCAATCAAGTGCTGTTTGGAGGTGAAAACGTTACACAAACTTATATTTACATTTCGCTCTTTGTAATAACCCTCATCATACACTCATGCAATCCCATTAGAACGGGACACGCTAAGGTTCAAAAGCTGTGTGTTGACGATCCTCACGCTAATCCCTCAGATCACCAGCACAGACCTGCTCATCTTCCCCATCCATTTAGGACTTTACAAAAATATGACTGTCATGATGACTGAAAAAAGTAAATTAAGAAAAATCAGCTACCATATGGCAAATTCTAGTGTAAATAACTGTTATTTTTATGTCTCAAACCTTCAAAATGATTAATTTCTTCCTCTGATTAAAAGTTACACTATAGAGCTTGTTATGGAGCTCATTTCTTTTGGTGTTGAGTGTGGACATTATTTTTTCCTTTTCCCCTAAACCAGCACTGCTGAGATTAGGTTTGTGTGGATAAAATTCCTTCCCCTCATGATCCTTCATCCAGGTAATTGCTGCAAATATTTGACTTCTCAACTGCTCCACACCAAATTGGGCTGGTAGCCTTAACCTCAAAGCTGTGGTAGACCTCAAGGCAAACCTCGCACATCAATGTGTTTACTATGGAGAAATTCAATTGCATCTTTCACCTTAAAGAGAGAGCCCACGGAAGAAATGATACCCTCAGGTAACATCAAGTGTAAATACAAGTTTATTAGGGAAGAAAATGTTCCATGATAAACAAATGAGGGGAAAGGCAAATTCACAGTACATTTCATCTTCCTAACGTGGCGCATTTAAACAACTTCAAAACCCCATTGTTGCTCCACACAAATACGGTGCCTCTTTACAAAAATACTCTCCTTAAGAAGAAAAAATGCTGTTGGCATAAGGGGGCATTTTCCTAATTTTTAAAAAGCTTTTTTTCTCACCTTCTTTGACCATTTCTTCAAAAAAATGCAGCAATCTACAAATACTCTGCAATCTACAAATGATTCTGTCCAAAAAGACTTTAGCTCCTTGTGGAATTGACATGTCAGAGCAATGACCCCTCCTGAACACTACTGACTGCAGCTCTTTCCTCACTAAACATAATAAACCTGATGGTGGAAAATGCAACACAAAAGAAGGCTGTTGGTCCAGGGTTGGAAAAACAGGAGGTGGTTATGTTAAATTCAGCAAAACCAACAGGTAAGATAAAAGTACTATGGCAAGGCATTGGTTATGTTATGGAGAGGTAGGATAGTTGTCAGTGGTCGCTGTATCAGGTCCCAGGATGAAACGGTTTGATCACCAACCTCTTACAGTACTTCTGTAGGTTTAAAGATGGTTGACCTGTGGCCACAAAGTATTGTTCCTCGATGTCATAAAAGACAATGTTCCTAATTCGACAGGATAAAGGGAAATGTAGAAGTAATGCATTCATGGCAGCAGTAATACCGTATCTAAACAATAGGATTTGATCGACAGGTTTAGTCTTTCTTAAAGCATCACAGATACCAACCCTCAACAAGTCAGCCTCACTTAATCTGTCCAGATTAAGTGAAAATGGGAACGCTTGGCACACACCACGTTTATGGCAAGTTCATTCTAAAATGTGGCAATGAGTCTAATAATATTTTTTCATTTTGATTTAGATCAGCTCTGGCCCCTCCTCACAAATGGTAATCCTTCATTTTTATCTATACAGTTGTCATGAGGACACAAACTGGAGTGGATGAGCCAAAATCAAAAAAAGAAAAGAAAACTTACTAACCTTCTTACCCCTTAAGGCGAAAAAGCTACCATCTCATGTACTGTAATGTCTGACCCACACACAGGGTGACAGAACACCAGCTTCCAAATCCATTGAACTTTCAGAGCAACAAGAGTGTTTGACTGCTGTGCTGTCGCACTAAAACTTCACGGACATGGAGTTTATCACATTACATGCTAAACAGAGGAGCTTTGAATGGATCTTTTGTTTTTCGGAGCCATGTATGGCTGCTGCATTGGGGGCAATGAATAAGGACACATGAAAAACTGAGGTGAAAAGAAAAAAAGCTAAAAGTACGACAGGTTTTGTTTTTTAAGATTACAGTTGTCATTGGACCAAATACAAAAATCTCTCTACACTGTAGAAAATGGAACCGAAAGAACTTTACAAAAATGTTTGACTTCTGCTTTTTCTCTTTCACGCTCACAGAAAAAATTACGAGCAGGTAGATCTATCAAAGGGAACACCAAACTATTTAAACAAAATCCAACTGGAGGAAAGTTGGGGAGGAGGCTTCTTTACAGCGAGGAAAGTACAAATCTTGGTGCTTCGGTTTTTAATATGTCCCTATGCTGATTTACCATCATCATTTCTTTCAGTTCATCTAATTGACTGACTATTTGAACATCCCTACTGTGACGGTGAACATATGAAGCAGTTGTCCTGATTGTTTTTACATGAATATCCTCTAAAATGAGCAGGACGGTCCCTCAGCATTACCCCTTCCTTTGACATCTAGAAGTAAAAGATGAATGAAGGAGAAAATATGTGCTTTTAAGTACAGCACCTCATTTAAAAGAAACTTACTTTATGTACTATGTATGGCTTCTACTACACAGGCAAACATTTGCAAAAAGCATTCTTTTACTCTTAGATGGTAGGAAGGGTATGCTAAAAACTTTTTGTCTTGGTTTATATCTTTGCTCAGTTGACTGAGAGGAAACTGGGCAGAGATGATGCGAACGCTGGAGTACGTCTGGGAAAAAAAACAAAAACTAACAAAACTAAACAAACTTTGTCTCGTCTTCTCGCTGCCTTTTACCATTTATGCTGTCTGGGGAGGTGCGACTGAGGCCGGGCCACATTACTGGCTCTGGTTTTCGCGGACTTTAGCTTGGAGAGCGTCGCAGGTCTTCTTAGCATCGCCTAGCAGCATGGCTGTGTTGGGCTTGTAGAAGATGGGGTTGTCGACAGCTGCATATCCCACACCCAGAGAACGCTTCATCACAACCACCTGGAGGGGGGGGGGGGGGGAGATAACAAACAAATATGAGCTTCTGAACAGAGCAGCACAGAAAAGGCATTTAGAAAGAATGATTTCAAATGATAAAGGTCCTGAGCCGTGCATGCAGACTAATAAGATCAGGATGGGAATGGAGCCGGAACATTCAATGTCTAGGTTTGAACATTCAATGTCTAGGTTTGAGTCAAGGCTCGTGCACATCTCCAATGCGTCTCCATGCCTCTGCTGGTGCTGACAACTCAGTCGAAAATCAACTATTAGTCTTCATCTTCTTCAGCTTGAGGGAAGACTTTACTTTCATCCATACACCAAATGTCTCACCTGCTTAGACTTCCAGACCTCCAGCACAGGCATCCCAGCGATGATGGAGTTGGGGTCTTCTTGTGCAGCCGAATTCACCGTGTCATTGGCGCCAATCACCAGGACCAGATCAGTTTCTAAACAGGGCAAATCAAAGCTTAAGTATCATTTCTATAAATCCGCATCATGTGGTTTTCTATTATGTTATGTCAATTTGAAAATCCTTAATTTGCAATGTTTTGCAACATCACAGAGTTCAAACAGGGTCAAGTTACATTCTGTGAAGAATGTAACTCCTCACACCATGAAACAACAGACGAACATACTCCGAGTCAATATGTCCCAAATTTGACTTTGCTGTCAAGACTAATTTTAATGGAAATGGCATGACAAACCTTTTGGATTATGGGTTCAAAATTGGCAGAGTATGAAAGTAAAATAGATTATATTATTTTATGTAACTAGCCTAAAAAAAAAAAAAAAAAAAAAAAAAATTTATTTAAAATTATTTTAAAAAAAAAAAAAAAAAAAAAAAAAAAATACTTCTTGTGTATGAAATGTTTGGTGAAAAAAGTCTGACATTTTGGAAAATGTGCTTTTCTGCCCTGTTGAGATTTTACAGATTATATGTGATCTGTGAATCCAAAAGATGGAGCAAACTGCATATATTACAACCGTGAGTGAAATTATTTGTCAATTTGCATAAACAAAGTTTGGGTTTTGGCTTTAACCTGAAACTCTAATTACTTTGGCTTACTTGATTTTTATGTTGTCATAAATACAAAGCAAACAAACAAATGTTGAAATCTATATTTGCAAGCTTTTAAAAAAAAGAAGAAAAAAAACAATATTTGTAAAAGAAGGCAAACATTACAAATAAAGCAGAGAAAGTTTATATATTGGATCCAAACCTCCACAGTCTCAAGACTCTCAGACTTTCAGGTTTTGGACATGTAGAGTATGCAAAAAGGCAGGGAGGACGGGCTCTTACCCGGGAAGTCCTCATTAATCTCCTCCATTTCCAGGACCATATCATAGGGGACACCTGCTTCAGCCAGCAGCACATTGAGCTGGCCAGGCATACGGCCGGCCACTGGGTGAATACCAAACCTGTAGTAATCAAAGGCTCATTTTTAGTCAGTGTGCACACAGAAGTGATGGCTGCGAACAGATATAAACACACCAACATGGACGGGGGTGGAGTCAAAAAGACAGAAGTTTCGGGCAAGTGACTTTGGTGATAATTGCCTGCTGCTTACACTCAACTCCTACTGCCCTCCTCCAGGAGAATAACTTGTTTCACGGGAACCTTTTTGTGTAACTAAATGTAAACGGCTCTCAGACTCAATTAGCCATGTCATGTAATCAGAGAAGGAAATTAAGAGCAGTCACTCATGTCTGGGAGCTGCTCTCTTTTGGGTTTCCTCCGTGATTTCACAATGTCAGGGACCACCAGTTCATATAAGATCATAAGTTCATCTCTCTAAGATGTGTCATACGATGTGTCAATTTTAAGCAAAGTGCAGAGTGAGGTGGCAGCCAAAGTCAGTTTCTGTCCACTGAGTTATGCTATTGGTCAACATTCAAGAAGACATTAGTAAGACAGAGTGGCTCTGGTCTTCTTTATTTGAAACACAGTTTTATTTCAGTGTGAAGAGCATCAGAGTATGATTACAGGTTAACTAAAGCATGCATGTCAGTGGCTATGAGGGGTAAGAGGGCAAAAACTGAATAGAGAGAAGGGGGGGGGGGACAGAGCAAAGGAGTTGTTTTTTTCTCTTTTTCTCTGACCACCCACTTTCTTCTAATCAAGTACAAATGCTCTAAGCAGCAGCAGCTGCAACAGCCAGGATCAAACGACAGCGGCAGGACAATTACACAAGTTCCGCTCTACCTTGTCTCCTTTCCTCCCTCTTTAGCATTTCCTCCTCCTCTCACACACACCATCCCATCATGCATTCACGCTGGTTAACTCTTCAAATCAACGGCTTCACTTTACGTCTTAGACTGTAGTAATAACATCATATATCTGCATATATCTGAAACCGTCTTAATTTATCTACATCTATCGAACTGTTTGAATAAGATTCTGTTTTTGAAAAACTTTTTGGGAGAGAATCTCTCCGTATTTTGGGCACTCAGCAGGTTATTCTGCAGTTCTAAAAGAATTAAATTACAGTTAAAAACATCATCATTTACCTGACTTTCTTGCCAGACTCTGTAAGCAGCTTCACCAGCTCAGCAATGGGGTACTGGGCCTTCGCAGCACAGAGTCCATAACCTGAAATGGTTTTAAAACAACAACAGGGTGAAATGAGTTGATACACAATCTTGCTGCAGACTATACAACCTTGGCCACAATTTAGAAAGTGCAGGACAAATTCCAAAGGTTTTATCACAGCTAGTAACATCTATCCTGGTCAGGGCTTGACGCATTCTTAAACATACACAGACGTGAGCTGTAAAACATGCGTGGTCGTTATTTTAGCCTTTAAGCGTGATGCGCCGATGATGGCAATCCATCACAGACAGAAGCTGAATGGGATCCAGTGAAGGGATGCATTGTAGAAGACGTGAGGCTGTGGACAAAAATACTGAGGGCATTTTCACACGTGCACTGCAGCCCTGACGTTTTGTTGACATGTTAAAGGGTCTGTTTGTAAGAAGGCAGATGTCGCTAGCGTTTAGCCACATTTCTACTGGAGTTTACCAAGACAGCTCCCTGGTGAAAAGACTCAAGCGAATCTATGTGTGAATACTAGGGTTGTCACGATACTAAAATTTTCAACTCGATATCGATACTCAGGAAAAAACTCGATACTCGATACCATTTTCGATACCACAAGGATTAAAAAAAGACCCCAAAATTTAAATGAATTTTGACAGGTTAGTGTCTTTCATTTCAAACTGACCTGTTACTGATGATATCGTGACTGGTGGCCTGCATTAATAACCCTAACCCTAACCCTGACCCTAACCCTGACCCAAACCTGACCCTAACCCTCCACCCTTCATAATTGTGAGAAATAAATATTTTTGGGTTAAACTTGTTTGGACTTATTGTACAAACCTATTTAATATACACTATGTTAACATAATAATATGTGTAGAGTTTAAGTGTTTGAAAGATTAATTTTACAATTTTTAAATGAATCTCTATATTGCCATGAGGAAATTAGGATTTTCTTCCCTGGAATCTTCCTATTGTTAATGTAATTATAACGGCCGACTTCGATGTGGGCGGAGTCGGATATGTACTTGATTAATGGTAGCACGTTATTATTAGCTATTAGCCGAAGCTAGCAGTTCAAGGCTAACAACTTGTTAATGACCATAAACAACGTAAAAAAATACATAAATAAATCTGAGAGAAGGGGCGCAGCGACGGCAGGTCAGCGTCGCGCGCGCGCACGCGCGCTCGCGCGGTAGTATCGATACTTTTGAAAATGAGTATCGTATCCGGATACAACATTTTAGTATCGATACTTTTTTGAGTATCGATACTTTTGACAACCCTAGTGAATACAGCAGGAAATCCTCCCCACTGAGCAGGGGTGCATGCTGATCACAGATGCAGCTTTATGCTCTTTTCTGTTAACCTGCATGTTCCTTTCCATTTCCTTGTGGGGGCTGAACAAATATCCGAATACATGAAAAATGTATATGAACATAAAAGCAGTCATTGTTGTGACTCAGTCAAATCACTGAGTGAATCTTTTGGTTTTTGCACATCAACACAGATGTCAAAAGTGTGACTTGCTTAAATAAATGCCGGGACAGCTTTTCTGAGTTGGGGAAATCATGTTTGTCTTGGTTTTGTTTTTTTAAGCCTTGTCAAGTCCGTCAGCCATGTATAAAACACTTAAAGGTAAAGGTCAGTCAAAAGTCTTGCTCCATTATACATACAAATATGTCTACACACATACATAGTCTTGGAGTCTGTAATTATGATGCTGTTTTGTACAATGGATTTTTTTTATTTTTTATTTTATTTTTAAATCACTCAAACATGTCATTTGCCGTCCAGCTCAGCTATCGAAAGATTTTCACTTTCCCTCCCCGTAAACAAAACTCTTTAAAACTTGTGATGCCAATATTCTAACATGTGTCTCGTATAAGAAAAAAACATGTGGGCTTCAACCACAAAGAGATGGCCCAGACAAAGGCAGAAAAACACTCGTGTTTATCATGCAGGTTCTTAACTGTTTCCACAGATGTCGATCAGGCAAAGTGACTGTGACGGCTCCAATTAGGAAGGATGGTGAAAATGGAAACAAGGGAAGTGACTGAAAGCTGGCACTGCTCAACAATTATCTATGGCACTCTGCCAAGTCCGAATGGTTTAAAGTCTGTTTCAGCATTTCCTCTGCAGGTTTGTGTTATGTAACTGATGTCAATGATAAAACTGTTTATACACTGGAACACGTGTGCTGCTTTTTAATATACCAAATTTCTGCCCTAGGTGCAATAGTTTTTATTTTAAAAATTCAAACTTATGTGCCAATACTGTTTAACGATGCCGTACCCTTAAAAAAAACGCAGTATCAAAAACCGTTGCTATTTAGTATTTTCTGTCAGGATTCAGAGGCTTGGTGAAACATTACTGATGTAACTTTTTGTTTTCTCTCACTGCAATGAATTAAGAGTGTAAAATTTCATAGAAATGTCTGGTATTTTATTGTTCTTCCTGTCTGTGAAACTTATTTGTGGATCAGCTTTGTGAACGGACTAAAGAAAACATGTATTGATCTTTTTTTTTACTCCCTCCTCTCCTTTTGGTATGTTTTTTATTTTAGCTGTCAGAAATGTTCCTTTTTGTCTTTGTCTTTTGTCATTCTAACAAAAGAAAAAAAAAAACTTATTTTTCAGTTGACCATATGACCACTTTAAATCTGCAATTTTTGTAAATCGCAGCAGTTTCCTCTGAAGATTTCATTTTTGTAAATAGCTTCTCATTACTGACTGGAATCACCAATTTGCAGGGTAGATGCTTTTAGTCTGTGTTTACATGTACCCACATGAACAAAACAACTCGTTGGAACCGTGACTGTTTCCCAACAGTCTGTCGAGAGGCCTGAAATGTTATGGGCCACAAAGTAATGAATTTACAGCAGCACCTCCAGCGACCGCCATAATGGTGGGAGCTTTTTACACACAATGTATCAGTAAAATATTTCATCTAGTTGAACATCAAAAACACATTAAATAAAATGCAGCTGCAGAGCTTCGCGCCTGAATAGGGAACTACAAACCAAGTGGAATCAAAGTATTTGAATTGTCATCAAAAACTCTGCCTTCCCTCATTTCATGCAATTTCCCCTTGACCTTTGCATATATACGCTGCACTGTAGAATGTCTACTTCAGGGGACTGCCGACCACACAGAAACCTAAAAGGGTGTGTTTTGTGTGTGTGTCCTGCCATGACTTGTCAATTAACCCGGTAAAATGGTGACATAACATAGGTCAAGACAAGGTTAAATAAACAGAACACACACTTTGTTGGGTCAGGAAAAAAAAGAAAGGAAAAAAAAAAGTGATGGGTAAAAGTCAAGCAGCATGGTTTTTCCGAACATGAATCAAGAACTGTGTGTGCGAGTGTGTGCGTTTGTTTTCAGTGTGCGTGTTTTACCTGGAGTGATGATTATGTTCTGAGCCTCTTTAATCATGTCGACAGTCTGTTCCACGTTGACCTCTGTGTGAGTCCCTATGATCTCCATGGGCTTTCCTGTTCCGGTGGAAGATGTGCCATAACCTCCCAGAATCACATTAGCCAGAGAGCGATTCATGGCCTGAGAGCAGAAAAAATATATTTTACCTTCACTTTTTTTTCTTCTCATATTTACCTTTTGTTTTAACTTTATTGGGAGTATATAAATATATAAGAGTTTAATAAAGGGAATCTGTGTAGGGATTTTACAGTCTCACTATAATGATAAAGATAAGAGTCCCTCCTGGTGGACAGCAGAAGAACAACCACATTTAACATGTCTTCGTCCTCAAAACCCATCAGTGAAGACTTCATTGACATTTTTCAAATATAAAGCAAAGAAGTAGAATTTCTGCTTTTATTCTTTAAAGGAAGACAGTTCGCTACTCACCACACACATTATGTATGACAGAATGGCTCCGGATGACCCAATGAGGGCACCAACGATGGTCAGCAGGTTGTTGTTGAGCAGGAAGCCCTCAGCACACAGGGCCCAGCCTGAGTAGCTGTTGAGTACGGTGATGACCACCGGCATGTCAGCGCCTCCAATAGCTGCTGTCAAGGTTACACCCTGAAGGAGAGTAGGATCATGAAAACTTAATCAGGTGGAGTAAATATGGCTCCATATAAAACAAGACAGAAAGTGTGAACGTGGGAATTGCAAGTCCTTGTAGTTACAATAAGCTGGAAAGACGTATTAATGATGAATCCAGCATGTCACTGACTTGAATCCCAGATTGTCACCCAATTGATTAATGCTCTTGAAAGTGAAACTAACAATCTCACGGAGCAATTTTTTTTATCTCTTTTCATTGTCTCACGAAACAAATTTCCCCCCCCAGAAGGAAGAAACATTTTTTACAATTAGGTTCACATGCTCTAAGTCTCTCCATCATCTGTACAGTTTTCGTTTAAGGAGAGCCAACTGTAGCAACCAAAGCGTTGGAGGGATCCAGAATCCACTGTGTGCTTAATCTATTTCAGCTTGCACATCAGACGGCTCTTTCAGACCACACCGCAGGTTTATCTGGAGAAATTTGTGCATACTGTATGCGTGCACAGTTCTTGCACAATACAACACTCGAGTTACCGATTATAGGTAAATCCAGAAAGAAAAAGAAAAAAGAGAGAGAACCTGTAATCATCAAATTTCTCTTGGGATGCATTTACAGTATTTTTTCCTGAGGCTCCAACCTGCAGTTTATGCAACAACACCTGTGAAAAGACTCAAATGGTAACAAATCAACTTTGGAATGTTTTTCTACTTTTTGCATTAACTAGGAATGCATGTGTCCTCTGGCTGTTATCTTACTTAGGTTTATTTGATTATTATCCAAACATGTGAAATTTCTTATTTATTACCTCTAATGAAAGGGCTAAGCATTGTCTTTACAATCGGTTCAAATAGATGGGGCAACATTTCTAGGCCGTTTGGCTATGACTGTCAGCTTTCTGTTCCACTCTGAATTTCTGGGCAGCAGCCATGCCCGTGTTGTTTCTTTTCTCACTTTCTACATCCCACACTTTTTTTTCCAGCAGACTTTTTCCTGATTATTCTGCAGTGGTTTCTTTCTAGAATCCAGTAAATATTTCAACGAGAGTCTGACTCGTCAGTCCGTTACCATTTTTAAATTAAAAACATTTTTTAAAACCCAGAATATTAAGAATATCAAAAGTCTGAATATTTCTTTGAAATGGCCAGACTGATCGGAGCACACAAGCGGCATACCATGACAGCAGAGAGGGCAGACACTGATCCAAGGCAGGTGATGCCTGTGGTGTAGCTTGGATCCAGCATGTAGGGAATCATCCCACCAACGCTGGCGGCCATGAGACTGGCATTGAGAGCATGACGACCAGGAAGCATCAGGGGAGAACTGTTCAACATACCTGTAAAAAAGACCAGATGGAGAAAGTGAGGAAAAATGGAAAAATGATGAAATCATGATGAGATCATTCGGCTCGACCACTTTCATTAACTTTTTTTTAAGCATTATTTTAAAGAAAGGAGGCCCAATCTAATCCATATTCAAAGCTTTTCCCATGGACTGATAAAGAGTCAAACAGAAATAGCAACAGGCTAAATCCAGCCTCCACTTTGGCAGCTGCAATCATTAACATTACATTCATGAAAATATCAGCTGCCAGGCTTGTGCATCAGCATTGTAGACATGTAAATATTTACACATTGATGATCCACAACATTTAAACCACTGATAAATTAAATGAACAGAACATCCAAAAAGGTAAAGTATGGCTGGTAAAAACTCTGGTCCTAACATGTACCAGGAGCTTTCTTAGCATATGGACCTCTATGTGATGTAAATGTAATAAATAAATCAATAAATTACATCCAAAAGAAACTGCAGAGTAGATAACAAAATAACACAACTGTTGAAATTGCCTATGTATCTGTACCTGAATGTTAAAAGGTTCTAAACATCTAATCAAGGAGGAGGAATTGACCAACTGTGAAGCTGTAGGTTTGTTTAACCTGTGTCATGTTGCATTGAAAGCTCGATTCATACTCTTTTACTACCCACTGCCAATTCTTAATTCCCCTCATTAATGGAATCTGAAGTGGAAATGCAATCAGAGACATATCACCTGAAGATATGCTTCCCTTTGGAGAGCTCCCTCATCATAATAACCCTCACACTACTTGGTATAGACACGCCTAATGGCTTGTACTCCACATAGAAAGTCCTGTCAGACTGCACAAATTGTATCATCTTGCAACTGCCACAAAAAAAACAAAACAAACATGTAAACAATGGTGTAGTGAATACATCTGAGGGAGAAAAAACACAGAATACTGACATAAAAAACAGGCTTTTGAGCTTGATGAGCATCTGTATGCGTGTGTATATATATATATATATATATATAATATGCAACATGGCAATCATCAGGCTCTGTTTTTTCTGCAGTTGCATTCTCCACAAACAGGGCAGCAGCAGGCCCTAGCAACAAAACTGTTAGGCTCAAAGAGCATAACAAAAAGTTACAAGTGTTCTTCAGGCCTCAAAACTCCCAAGATGCCCATCTGATGGGATTTGATGACATCTGTGGGAGGCAAGCCTAATCCACAAAGACCCCACTCCAAAACCCTGGGGGTCCTACATAATAATATGCAGATGGTCGTGTGTTATTACCGAATGTTGTACTGGTGAAGGAACAAAATGTAAATTTGACTTGTTTACTGTCATCTACAGTTTTACATCCATCAGAGGGAAAAAAATCCTGAAATGTCCGACTTTTTACTCTGTGAGATCCTTAAACTGTTTGGCCTGAAATCAAACATTGTTGAAAACAAATTATACCCCTCGTGGCACTGACACTCTCCAAAAGCACTAGCTTCTCGAGGAAGACAATAAAAATGTGCTTGGAAATCGCTGAAAGATGAAGAATCATCTGGGTAGACAGCCAACAGCTTTATTTACTAAGACCCTAATGCACAACCCACAGAGGCTGAGGGAGTCAGTGACATGTGCGAGTGTCAGACACCACATTACACCCCTGTGCGTATGGTAAAGTCTGGGTTGTTTAACACCTCCTTTCCTTAGTTCCTCACCTTGCAGTTTGCCGTATGCCACCAAAGATCCACTGAAAGTGATTCCACCGATGAAGGTGCCGAGATAAGCTATTATCTTGGTGAGGTTGGCTGCTGGGTCGGTGGCAAAGTGGGGATACTCAATCATATACTCAGCCACACAGGTGAGGACAGCGGCCAGCCCAACCAAGCTGTGGAACGCAGCCACAAGCTGGGGCAAATCAGTGATCTGGATCTTCTTAGCAATGGCCAATCCTGCAAAAAAAAAGAAGGAAAAAAATGGCAAATGAATTAAGTGCAATGCTGCTAAAACTCCCACACATAAATACCTTGGAAATCACAATAATGTGCACATGCATAAAAAAAACAAAAAAAAATCACGGGACTGCTGGGAAATTGGGTCCATTTGAAGAGCCAGGTGCTGCTGATGAAGACGACTCTGTTCATGGTTTTGCGCAGGCCTATGCTTTTGTGTGTTAGTGTGCACATATGTCCTGCAGGAAGCCTTTCAACAGTGCCTATCTGGTAAAGAGCATCATTATCTGTGTGAACAGTTTAGTCTGGCTTTCATCTTTGTTACTGGAACAATTAGCATTTGAATGATCAAACTATCCTGAAACAGAAAAACGTGAGTAATCCCTGTTGCTGACCATTCAGACAGACCTCCTGTGCCTGGCGGGAGTTAGTCATGTCGCGTTTGATGTAAACAAGACACACAGTCCGCTCTGAGCACACATTTCTTAATCTGTTTTAGGTTAGAATACACGCACTCACACACGCACACACAAACAAACACAAAAGCCAAAACCATCTGCTGCAGGTCCAGTTTTTAAGTTTTCCTTGCAAATTCGGCTGCTTTTTTTTCAGTCCAATATTAATGCATGAACAAGCACACGCACTCACACACTCTCTTACTCACCAGCGCTGCCACCCACAGCCATGGCTGCACTCATCTGTGCCAGGAGCTCTGGATTAGGTTTGAGAGCCCCCAGAGTGGCGGCGACCCCTCCTGCGACTCCCATCATACCCAGAGTGTTACCCAGACGAGCCGTGGTCTGGTTGGACAGGCCAGCCAGGGCACCAACACAGCATAGACCTGAGCCCAAGTACATCATCTGCGGGGAGGATGAAACCAAGTGGAAAAAGGGTGTTGAGGACAAGAACTGAGGAATCATTGGGTGAAATATAATTAAATCGTTTCGCAAATGATTTTACTTGGAAGGATCTGTGCAACATCTGCACAAACAAAGAGCACATTAGGAGGTCTGGATAACTTGTGTAGTCATGGTCTGTTTTGTACCAAGTCTAAGAGACCACAGAAATGCACAAAACATGTGGTCATGGTATGAGCATGACCACATGCTCATCTGTTCACACCTGTTCAATGTTGTATCCAGACTGCAGAGCAGCAGCATAGCCTCCAACAAAGACGCCACCAGGTAGCAGGTAGAGGTAGTTGTACTCAGGGGGATCAGTGGGACGTTTGAACATGTCCAACATCTTCTTGGTCACCAGGAAACCACCTGAGGGATAGAAAATTCATTCATAAGTGCTGACAGTGGAATAAAACTCTGGTTGAAATCTGGTTTCAAGAACAAACCCGGTAACAATAGACAATATAACATTATTAACATAAAGTGCAAGAAGAAAAAAAAGCTAGAAGTGCAGAAGCAAGCAGTCCAGGCACCTGAAATAGGTCAGCAGGTGTGGCAAAACCAATAGCTAAAAACTGTTGCCAAGTTCAATAACCAATGTCAGGAATTTAATGAGTCTACTTTATGTCAGTGTAAATATTTCAAATAGAAAACCTCATAAGTGTCAGACCAGGACCAGACAGTGTCTCACTGCTTTACAAGAGAATATCGCATTACCATGTGTGAGTTTCTCTTTTCCCCCTCTGGCATGATCGTGGCCATGTGCACTCACATGCACCAGCACATAGGAGGTGAATCTGAGGTTAGCATCTGTTACTTTCCAGTACATGTAATTTTAGCCATATAAAGTCTCAGTTAAACAGAAAATAATAATTTGACTATTATTATTACAAACCAGTCTGTGTCAATACATTAATATGGAAGAATGTTCGTATATTTAAAGAACACAAAGTCAGTATCCACCAATTTCCTGGTTGTACTAATTTTTTTAATAAAACTCTGAATGGGTCCAATGGCCTTGTATTTAGAAAGAAAAATAAGCCCATCAACAGCACAGTTTAAGAAATTAGGCTTAAAACAAGTCTAGGACTAGTTTACATCAGTGCTGACAGAGTGGTCCATTATGACTTGGAGCAACACATGGGTCGTTTTACCATTCAGGCCTGAAGCAACGCAAGTGCTGCATCAATTTTCATAGGGCATAGTATGATTTTTCAAAATATATTGAAAAATAAATAAAAGCAGAAGGTTTGACCAAAGAAATATTTTACTTCATGTTTCTAGTTTCTTCAGGGGCTGAGAAATAAAAAAGTTCAAGCTTGCCAAACAACCCTAGTGTTTTAGAAGCCTTTAGTCTGAATGGGCCAAGAAAACCTTGGCATACAAACAATAACAAGATTTAGTGCGCACAAACATAATTTGACTTCTTTATGCTTTCTACATTTCTTCTTTTCCTTTATGTTCATAAGTTATATAGTAAAATTCTTAAAAATGTGAAGCTATTGATCCTAAGGCCACATAATGGGTAACAATACTTGTTTAGGTGACATGAACTCTAACTCTTGTGTGCAAAATCTCTCAAACTCACAATAATAAAAAGCTTTAGTGCATTGTAACCAAACAGTGCCAGCCAGTTACTGTTTGCATCAAGGAATCCCTGGTACCTAAATGTGAGGCCATACAACCTTTTTTGCCAGAAGAACACTCCGTTTTCTAGAAGAATGAAAGATTAAGGTGGGTAGCACTATGAGTCAAGGAATCCTCTGTCACTATAGTAGAAATTATTAAGGGTAATAGCCGAACAGAATGTGTGTGGTCCAACCCCAAGCCAGCGACTCTGGTCTGAGCAGATGGGTAGAAAGGGCAGCGGGAAAACTTGGGTCAAAATGTTATTATTGTATAATCAATACAAAGCACCTCAATAATCCGCCTAAGTGGATTTTTTTCATTGGGCGACAGTTGCTGTAACTGGCGGGATCACTGTTGGGTGTCTATGTTTGGATGACTCACCAGCAATGTTGACTGAAGAGATGAAGGCCGCGAGCACGGCCAGTGTCTCCGCGGTAGTAGTTGGCAAGTAGCTGCCTCCCATCAGGGACAGACCACCCACAGCTGTCAGACCTGTGGAACACGCATTTGTCAGTGTTCATGAATCCAGTTTTCACGATGCATGACACAAAAAGACAAAGTTTTTGCAGAGAAAAACAACACAGCAACTAAAACATCCATTTGATCATTAAATTAAAACATCCATTTTCTATACCACTTATTCCCAATGGGCTTACTTAGCAAACTTGTTGTTTTAATGAGCCTGTCATCAGACATGCAGGGAACAGTATGCCTGACCCATTGGAAAAAGAAAGGGGAAGATATAGCGATAAAAAAAGGGAAAGGAAACAGAAAAAAGCCTGTATGCATGTTCCAAAATAGACTCAAGTAAACCCGATAACATCAGTCTTAATGATTTACAGGCAGTAAGATGCAGTACACAGAATATTGAGAGCTTGTGTGCAATTTAGGATGACTAACAGGTATGTGTGTGCCTGCTTGTGCTGGAAGTCCACAATTCTAAATTGGGACTTTCAAATGAGGGGGAGAAAAAAAAGGCAAGTTTCACCTTTTTTTTTGCCAAAAAAAACAGGCTTATAATATTCTGTGTACATCAGCTCCAATGCAAAGTTTAAAATCTTGCCAAACATCATGTCACAACTTTTATTGAGTAATTAAAAGCTTGTTTAAAACGCGTACCGATACGAACGAGATGACCAAAACAGAAAACAACAACAAGCTATTATGTTACGACGCAATCTGCCAGAATAATGAGTCTTACCAAACATCTGCAGTTTCCTTTTGGGAAAAGTACGCCTGAAAGTGTGTCAGTTCTCCATATTGTGATGATTAGGATAATATGCTCCAACTACAAAGTTACCGTCCATATTACACACACAGTCAGGCTTATAAGTACACTGGACCAAAGATCTATTCTTGCACCCGTGACACCGTCTGTGACTATCTTTGACATGGCGTCTGCTGGGATTTTGCACTAGAGAGATAAAAACTGAATTAACCTATTGAACTGACTAAAGACTATATTACAAATAAGTGTAGAAAGCAACAAGCTGCTGGAAGAATGACTATATTGATTTAGTCCAGTTAAGGCTACATTAACTGGTACATAGTATTTTAGTACCAAGAGTTGCCGATTTGATACATTTTTGTTCAATAAACTTGTTTGTTGAACGATGCAGAAAGAACTGAATACCAAAATGAGTTTTTATAAAGAGACATGACATTCATCCTGCTAAGACATAATCCTGGTCTGTCCCCAACTAACCCAACACGGTAACTGCCAGAGAGCACGATAATGCCAAGAACTTTTTTTTAAAGAAAGAAAGAAAACAGGTAAAGTTTCAGGTATTATTAACTTGAATTAATCTGGAGATCAAAGTGACGTCTGCCCACCAGCCCCTCAAGTGTGATACATAGGTGTTTGTGCGTGTATTGGGTGGACAGTCGTCCAGTATGTCTGAGTCTGTGGCAAACATCAAGTATCACGCTACAGGCAGTGCAACAGTCTGAGCTCTCATGTAGATTAAAGCTTTTATCAGACATCAGATATAAAAAAAATGGGATTCAATGAGCAACTGGATATTAAACCAGTGTCTGAAAATTTTAAGATGGCCCAGTGAGTAGTGAGCGGTTGTAACACTATAAATGCCCCGTGAAGAATATAACTGCCCGTCACGAAAACCTTGAATTCCATTAGCGTTCTCTAATGTCTGTAAGTGTTTGTGCGTGTGTTAATGATGCCTGGCACAACAATACCAAGATTTCCATGACTACAGACAGAGACACAAAAAAAAAGGGTTATGCCAAATGTGAGAGGGAAAATACCTGGAAAGGAGATGATAAAAGAAAACATAAGGGCAAATGGGGGACAGACCGCAGAGAGAAAAACAAAATAACCTTCAAATCCTTATTAGTTTCTCATGTTCAAATAAAAGAAAAAATTTGAAGGAAGTGATTCCTTTCAAAGCAACTGAAAGGAAACTTTAAGGGCAGAATGTATAACTCATGCACTAATGAAAAAATAAATAGTTAAAGGGCCAAAGAAAATAGCATGAAGACAGGAACATGAGACAGGTTCTCTTTTAGTTGTTACTCTGCTGGACTCCAGGAGTCCAGCAGCTGTAACGATCAGCTGTGAAAACTAAATGAAAAAGACTTAGCTGACCCTTAGAGATCCCTGACAATGTGTTACTTCCGACTGCTGTGTGGGGCTTTAGCGCCATCAAAGCCTTGAGAACATACAAACGTTTAGCTGCAACCTTTTAACCTCACTGTGTTGAGCCAAAGTCAACTGAGTGTCATTGAAGCAAGAAATGCCCCAAAATGCTCAGTTCTGCAGATATCCCCTTATGTGAAACAATGATGCTGTAGAGGACATTTAGATTACTGTATGAGTTCTAAAGTACAGAAAGAACTTGCCTGAAATGGCATTGGTGACTGACATGAGCGGAGAGTGCAAAGCAGGAGTGACTCCCCACACTGTGTGGTATCCCACGATGCCAGCGAGGCCGAAGGTGGTGACCATCTGAGTGAAGGCGGCGTTGGGAGCAGACAGGCCCAGACCCAGCAGTGTGGCAATACCTGACACAGGGTGAAAAAACAAAAGTCAGAGCTAATGAGACAACTCGAGAAGGTTGCGCAGAAGACAGAAAGCAGCGTGAAAGCTACGTTTCCTGCCAACCTCCTACCTCAGTGCGAGCACCGAACAAGAGACATGGACACAGTTTCCCATAGCAGGATTTTCCACAGTCACACTTATTGGTAGTGCAAAGAGCAGTCAGATACTAAATGTTATCTAAAAACAGTGTGAAACAAGAATAGCGTGTCTTTACAATGTTGTCCAACATTCACGGCAGATCTAACGGGACGTCAAACATGAATTGAAACATTTCCAAAACCATTGACGTGACACGGTTTATAGACACATGACCATCCATGTTGTCCTAATATGCTCTCAAATCAACACACAGGCAAAGTAAGTGGTCAAAAAACAATTTACTACCTGCTTAAAAGTGTAACTAACTTTCTTTTCAGGAGCAAACACAAAAGCACTTTTTCCATCTATAGCCATCTTTATGAAAATAATAAATGTACTAAAAATGTCAACTCTTGCCCTTAGAAGAGCTGAGGAGTTAACATCGGTAGCTGTGTGGTGGTCTAAAGCTGAAAAGTACTCAGGAACGCAGACAATGCGAGAGCCACATTAACTGCATTTGGTGCACTGACACAGAAGGCAGTGTGGCACCATGGGAACCCCTCACTTCACTGCAACTTCAAACAAACACACAGCATGGTGCTGCTTTTACAATGTGCACTTCCTGACGCTAACAGGGGGCCTGCGTGTGTGTGTGTGTGTGTGCGTGCATGTGCGTCCATATAATGTGGCTCTGTCACTTCCCGCCTCCTGCACACATTCCAGCAGTGACTTAAAAAGCAGCCCGTTAACCTATCCTTCACCTTACAGCACACCTCAGCCTCCATGGCGAACTGCTGCTAACCATCAACTTCAATGGGAGAGAAATCGTTGCCAATTAATTTTTTTTCCTCTGAGTGGTACATTCAGATTCATCCACTCACTGACCTCCTGTGTACATGCCCGCGCTGGTGAGTGTAGCCCTGAAGGGGGAGATCTGGGCTGCCTTCTCTGCTTCAAGCTGCTGGACACTTTTGGGTTTCGGAGGAGCTGCGGTGGGCAAGTTTTTGGGCTGAGGAGCTGGGAACATGTTCTTTCCGTTCTGAAGGTTGGAACAGAGAGCGGTGAAACAGACAACATTTTTTTTTTTTTTAAATACTGATAAATAAGACACATTTGCCTCTCTAAGCCATGAAAAAAGCCTCAACGACTTTGTAAACTTAGGTAGTTATGGACTTTTTATAGGTTTAAATACATTCACTAAGATATATTTGGACTTTTTCTTGTATAACCTGATAACTTACACTGAGAACCATGAATGACCTGTGTTGTATTTGCAAATATTTGAAGCATTACTCTGTCATGATCATATAAGCAAACTAATGACCACTTACAGTAGTAAGTAAGATTTATCTGCACTCCAGCACCATTTGTAAGATTCTTACTGGGAGCAGAAACAGACCTAATTACTAATCTGTTCTCCGGTCTTCTGATCATCTTTCAGCTGGTAATCATGTTCACTATTCTGAACATATGGTGCAATATAAATGGTCCCATCGACAAAACTCAGAACACAAAGAAGAAATGGACAGAAATGTTAAAAATGTAAATAATATGCAAAGTGGTGGAAAATAACTCAAAAGAGGTTTCACATTAATGTTCTTCCGTTCACAATTCTTTTTGTTGCAATCCAAGTAATTTAAGATTGAGTAATGCCGGCTACAGCATCTCAGTCCAACACTGGCCTTAAGCAACAGCACGCAGTTGCAAACTACACAACATGAGTATGTGTCTCTCATGGGACCAAGTCCAACTGATTCAGTTTCTTTTGACTTGCAACTGTTCTATTTTTTAGGAGGAACTATGCACTGTTCTTATATAATCAGTAACATGTTGATAAATAGCTATACAAAACAACAAAGATCAGGAGTTGAGGCGTACTCTGTGACCCTTATGCCTGATCTGACACTTTAAGTTGGTTTAAAGTGTACCTGTTCTACCTGTAATACAGATATTAGCACCAACAGATACATTTTATTAAACCACAACCTTGGGAAAAGGTTGTGCAATTTTATTGTGTAAAATCAATTGATTTAAATTCAAAGTTCTAAGCATTTTAAACCTAGTTGTCTACAGATTACAAGGTAAAAGTTGATGGACAACAATATTTACCAAATAAAAAAAACTTTTACAACAGAAAGAGGCATGCATAAGATGGATTTTCTAAGCTTTACCCAACCTGGTTTAAAAAACAAACAAACCTGACAATGTTGCAGACATATGACATGAATTATTATTAAAATTGTTTCTACTAGTATCAGTGGATTCTAAATTATTCATAGAATTCGTCAACTACAAATACTGATTGCATTTTTCAACAATGACATGCAAGTATTCTTTGCACCATCATCTGCAGAAAAGACGGGAAAAAGTGGCCTTGTGGTGACATCTAGTGAGCAAGGAAGGCATCTACAAAATTCTAAATCATTGCACAAATCCTTCGTCTAACGGGGGTTTCCATTAGTACCTACTCCGCCCTACCTGACTGTCCTCACCTCTTAGGTTTAGGTGGCTTTCCATTACAAATGAGCTCCTAACAGAAAGATGTGCCGAACAACCTGCAGACATAATTTGTGTGCGACAAGCACGAGACAACAAGGAACCCCTTTGCAGTGAGGATGTACCGGCTGAACCTGTGTTGCTGCTGGTTCATGTATTAGACATTTACAACGCCCATGATGGAAATAATAGAATCTGACATATTTTGTTGCCATTTTTTGTTGCACCTAAAATAGGTGGAGTTCTCATGAAGCGGTCGCTACCATGACTCATCGAATCATGGGCTGATCTGGCCTATCAGCGGCAGGCATTCTGCCATTGTCCCGACTCAGATTCCCCACCGAGTCGCTAAAATGGGAACCGTCAGTAGGCACTAGGGCTGGGTGGTATCCAAATATTCATATTTTTTCATACCGTCTCCGCATTTTACCCTGGTAAGCGGTATAACCATGACTAATTCAATATCTCGACTCAAAGCTCAGACAACATCACCAAATTGTTGTCTTGTGCCTACACTGTTCAGAAACTGAATACCGAACACTAATAAAGAAGTGACGAGGTCACTCTGTGCGCAACGTGCCATCTTTCTCTCTCTCTCTCTCTCCTTCACTCTGTCACATGATGACATCACATTCATAAATCTTATTAATAGTCTCACTATTGTGAAAGTAAAACTGTAAATTCAACCACATTCTGTGGCACACAGAATAATTTTTAGGCATTGATTTAATCATATAATATAACTAATCCTTATCTCCTATATATACATTTCTTTTCTTTTTTTTTCTTTTTTTAAAGACGATGCTCAAAGATACCGTTGCTTTTAAAAGATACCTTATTACCGTATTAGCACCCAACCCTAGTAAGCACCTACTGGGGAAAAAAGGATGAGGAAAATCAAGCCAAGCCGAGTAATGGAAAAGCCGCATAAGGTAGTCGAAGACTTTGTGATGCAATCCATTTGAAGTTTCACCAGCAGCACATGATTGTTTGTTTGCTTTAGGCCACATGACACCTCATACCTGCATAACAATTGATCCTCTCACAACGTGGTCCAAGGTTCCGTAGTCAAACTCATCCTTGACATCAAAGTAAAAGTTTTCCTTGTCTGGGCTGATGCCTCGCAGCAACTTTGTGATGTTGTTGGAGTACAGAGTGCTGGACTGTGTTGGCAGACGGCTGGGAAGGTCTGTGTAGCCAATGTGGGTCACTCCCTACAAATAAACCAATGCAACAAACAGAAAAAGAACATCAGACAAAAGATCCTACTAAATTCAATGAGATGATAGTAAAAACTCTCCTGCTCGAGTAGAGTGACCACTGACCTTGTGCACAGACAGCTCTCCTGGCACGGTGGTCTCAATGTTTCCACCTGCCTCAGCAGCCATGTCAACCACCACGGAGCCATCCTTCATGCTCTCCACCATCGGCTTGGTGATCAGGATGGGAGCCTTCCTACCTGCAATGTTTACATTAAAAGGCAGATATGACCTATTATTAGTGGGCTGAACAGAAACTAATTGCTCTTCACAGTTTTTAAAGGTTTCAAATCGTAACAAATTTAAGGAAGTGTATTTTTGAAGCATGCGTTTCCTTGAGCGTACCAGGGATAAGAGCCGTGCTGACGACGATGTCCACCTCCTGACACTGTTTGGCAAACAGCTTCATCTCAGCCTCGATGAACTCCTTTGACATTTCCTTAGCATAGCCTCCCTGTCCCTCGCCCGACTCTTTAATGTCCACCTCCAGGGGTTCTGCACCCAGAGATTTAAACTGCTCCAAAGCTGCAGCCCTGTGAGACGGAGGAGGTGGCGTCAGGCAGAAAACCACGCAGAACGAACATCAATGTATAAATGTCCAATGCAGTGATAATTATCGTCACGTTCTAACATAAAAGGCAAGAGGGCCAATTCCCGAGTTACATGCTGCTTTTCTAACACTGCAGCAACTACAATCATAAGGAAGACGTTTTGAGAAAAAAACCTGGTATCAAATCCTCTGACGATGGCTCCCATGGCCCTGGCAGTACCAGCCGCAGCCAGCCCAGCCACCCCTCCTCCGATGATCAACACCTATGCATAAACATCAACAAGGATTATGGCTACGGATGGTCAGAGCACTAATGCAACAGTGAAACCCAAACAAAGCAGACACATGGACTTGACTTCCGTGACAAAATTAAAGTGATGTCAACTACAATGAATACACAAACACACACACAAATGCACACACCTTTGCAGGTGGCACTTTCCCAGCTGCTGTGATTTGTCCGGTGAAAAAACGTCCAAAGCTGTTAGCTGCCAGCAAAACTGCTTTGTATCTGCAATTATTTTAAAAATTGATCGACTTTGAGATTATGGCATGGTTAAACAATTTCAACAGCATTTACACAAGCTGGTGTTGCAATAAGATACTCATTAAAAACTGCAGGTGAATGCTTTATTCTTCCTTTTTTTATATTACCTCAAATATTTCTAATTGATGCTTGATAAAATTACTGTAACTTCTCTTCCTGGTTAGCTTGTTTGCTGACTTGAGGGCTAATTGACACTGGACATGTTTCCAGACAGAAATTGTGTTGAATGTGATGGTAATCTTTTGAAAAAGCATAGCATACATGCTTTACACCCAAAATGCATTTTCTTGAATAAGACGTGCAAAAAATTATAGTTGAATGGTTTATGTTCATAAAAGGGATTTGTGAGACAGGAAAATGAGGATTGGTAGAGTCTGGGATGTTCCCACTTTTTTTTTTAGCAAAAGCTAAAAAAAGATATTTAAAAAAAAAAAAACACTAGAAAGCATACCCCGCAATGTTGGCCATGGAGCTCAATGCATCGTAACCCTGGGCGATGGTGACTCTTGGGACCTGGTCCATAGCCAGCACTGTGGCCTTCTTCTGAGACAGCATGTCCATCAGCTCGGGGTTCTGAGCTGGGTAGATGAAGCTGACTAGAGTCGCCGCGTCTTTCATCATCTCCACCTCATGAACACCCAACGCGGGGTTGAACGTGGGAGCGCGCACCTGTTGACACAATATTAATGCATTGTTGTTAATGAGTTAAATACCAAAGACTTTTTGAATGTTTGTATTATCCTGTTCACTCTTTCTCTCCTAAATGCCTTTTTCAATGCATCTGCTACCATCAGCTTCAAAACTCTCATGGCCCCTTCCTCCACTCTTCCTCTTCTGTGGTCAGATTTCACGCGGATTCCTACCTTCACCAAAACATCAGATGCCAGGACATCTTTTATGTCTTTGACTGATGCTCCCGCCTGGGCGTACTGCTCATCGGGGAACTTGGAAGCCTCTCCGGCTCCAGACTCCACCACCACATTGAAGCCTTGCTTGATGAGCGCCTGGACACCAGCGGGAGACAGCGCCACACGTCGCTCATTCTGGAGGATTTCTTTGGGAACGCCGACTGTGAGCTGTTTATATGGGACACCTGGGGAATCAAAGCAAACATTTATGAGTTTTTCAGCTTAGTTCTGTCGGGAATTACAATGATAATTAAAATGATAATATATATTTCACATTTAATGATGTATTATGTCTTAAACTGGAGAAGGATAGATGAGCAAGGTTTAGCTACAGCCTCTTCTGCAGCTTAAAATAGCATCCAGCATAACTACTGCTTAGTGTAGATAAAGGCCTATGTGGGCAACCTGACTCTAGTCTGTTATACAACATATGTACTTTGTACACAAAATACAATTGACTGAGGGTGCCGTCATTTAATCGAAAGCCAAGTCACAAATGGATGGTAAGAAAAGCACCGCACTGCTGTGGTTGTTTACCACTAAAGACAGACTAGACTAACTGTGGCAAAAAGAGGGAAGAGCCCAGCTGATAGGAGAAGAAGAGGGAATCACAAAAAGGGGTCGGTGTTAAAAGGCTCTTCAGAAGACAGTGCATGCTTCTTAAAATGGTAATACTTCTGAATCATTTTTAGTGCTGCTATTCAGGTCCAGTGCCCAAGCAACAAGCAGGTCACATGCTGCGCTGCCTCCTGTGGAAAATTCCACAGCAGTCCTTCGTCTCTGTCTCCTCCACCGATGAACAAACAAAAGCATGTGGCCTTGTGTCTCTCCTGCTCTGCCCGTGTGACCTCTCTTCTCACAACTATTGTCTTACTTACAGCTGCACAGCAAGAGGCAATCAGAGATCTGACAGCCAGCTGTTTCTGGGATTTTTAAATAAGCAGAAACCAAAGTACCCCAAAAATACAACGGAAAATAATTTGGGTCAAATATTGGTCCTTTTTGCTTGATACAGATTCATGTTTTAGCAGGTGTAGATGTAGACACGTGGCTCTTTTGATGGAAACAAGTCTGTTTTAGCTGGTCCAGGTGTTTACTTTTTCATTTCTTACACTTGTCCTATTATTAATAAAAGAAAGAAAATGAAATGATCTGCAGCCCATTGAGAAAAATAAGATGATTATGACCAAATAGGAGAATTTTAAAAGGCTTTACTTGAGCTTAATCCCTGATCCTCCATGTACTAGTATTTGCTCTGAATCTTTGGTAAAGAATGAAAAGACCTCATTAATGATAATCATTAACAGAATGGTTGCAGGAGGAAATCGTATCAAGACTTTTGGGGTCAATATTATTCTTTAATATTCAATATTATTCTTTTGTAGTAAAAGGATAAGGATACATTCCTTTAACCTGTGGCTACTTCAGTGATTTCTCCATCCTGTGTTTTACATGTTTGCAGCAATATGTGCTCAAATGTCATTGTTTTTTGTGACTGGTGTTATGGCACCAGAGTCACAAAAAAACATCTCAGCACATTAATTTTGGTGACACTACAAATTCCAAAAGACTATTCATAGATAACACTGTCCACTCTCATATCGACTCAGGATCTCAGTCTATGCTGCGCGTCAATCAGCTCCATAGCTGTCAAATCTAATCAGGTGGGCACGATTTGAGCCCCTCCTTTTCACGTCGGGACTGCAAGCTGATACGCGTGTGTCCAGAATAGCTGCTGCCAGCTGTTACTGGAGCGGGCTGATCTGCAGGAATGTCAACCTCTGTCACCATGAACCAGAGAGAGGGAGGCATCGCACAGCCCGGCACACACAGACCTAAAGCTCCTCCAACCAGCTGGGGCCAGCTTCAAAGCACACACACTCACAGGCACCTCTTGGCTGGTCACTGTATATAGATTTTAGGTCACAGACTGTAGAGAATAATGCCTGAAGACTGCAGTATCCTTGCATTGACTTTGAAGCTGAAAGGTGACGCAGGCAGCACTCACTAAAAAATATTCAAATAAAGCCACTGTGCAGGGTCACAGAGCGTCCTCTGTTTGCTTTTATTTAGCTCTATTTTGGCCAAACAGAAGATTAAAGTTTCAGAACAGCTATACAGCGCTGACCTTTAAGATGAGTGTAAAATAAAGAACAGTGAGTGGAAGGCAGTCCACCATATATTTAGACTACAATGACAGTAAAATGGACAACGGCATGCAGTTCTCCCACTGTTTCATGAAAAGAGATGTTAACACCTGCCACGATAAATGAGACTGATACAAAAGTTCATGAGAACACGCACAAAAGCTGCAGGTGGTGTTGCCTTAACATGGCTATCAGTAGTTAAACTGTCTATAAACCTAAACAGATGTTTAAGAGCAGCTCCCTACAGGAGGAGAGCCTATCTGAGAGTCATTAGCTTTTGGATAAATATTTTTCCTATAAAAACCTGCTGTGAAGTCGAATAGCTTAATTTGCCACATCACCACATTAGGTTAGAAATGGGGGAAAAACTGGGTCATCCTGGGTGTTTTATGTTTTACAAGGTCATTCCTAAAACCTTCAAAAGAGTTGGGATATTCCCTGAATGAGTTCTGACAAATTAGCAATCACTTCTATGTGTTTTGAAGCCAGGACGTGACTACTCTGAACACATCTTCAGAGACATATGATAATGTTTTCCAATTAATCTCACACTGACAGAAAATTAGTTTAGTGTCGACTTTCTCATGGACGAAGGGAAACTGGAAACCTAACAATGTGTGGGAACGGCACCCTCATTTAGCATCAATAGTAAGCCTTTGGTGGTACTAAAAACACCTTCAACTGTAGCTGTAAAAAACAAGTAGCCATTGATGATGCCACCAGGTAATGGCTTTCCTATGAAAACATGCATGCTGTCAAATCCAGTCCAGGGCTCAGAACACTATCGACATCCTTGTTTCAAACAGCAGTATTTGCACAAACACTATTCGATTAGATCTGAATGTCATCTTGACACTGGAAAGGTGTCACCATCCCAACCCGCATGCCTTCCCTCAGCAAGGCTCATGCAGGCATTTTCATTTTGTGGCAACAAAGATCACATGACCTCAATGGAATCGAGGTCATCTGTATTTCTTGAGTAACTTTATTATCAAAGGTCAATCAATTAAGACTTTTAACCTTGATTGAAAAAAAAACAATAAAAGAGGAATGATTAGCTCTGACACCAGAATGAAACGGTATGCTTAAACTACCACCCCCCACCAGCCACCTACCTGGATTTGCACTGCACCAGAGAGCTTGATGGGTCCTAAAAAAGCGTACAGAGGAGGATTTGATAGCAGGGCAACTCTGCAGCTTCGCAAAGGAGACGCTGCCGAACACGGGCGCTGAGCAGCTGGTCGCCACCACACGCAGGAGGCTCGCCATGGTGCACACACACCTGACAGTCGCTGTGCAGGAGGAGCTCAACGGGACAGACGGCACCCCTCCTGGGGAGGAGAAGTGGGAGAGGGGAGGGTGCAGGAGTGAGTACAGTAAAAATGTCCATACATTTACAAAGATTATCAGTTGACAGCACTCACAGTGAAAAGGCTCCACCGAAACGTCCTACAGTCTATCCTTGAATAATAAACTCACACACGACCTCCAATTGTGCAAGAGGTCACACTCACAACTCTCCTCTACTCGTCCCACTGTGTAGGCATAAGGAAATAGTTCGCTTGTGCCCTGTTATGTTATATATTATTCAAGTTATAAATAGGAATAAGTGATCTAGCGTTATCTATCAAATTACAAAACAATAACACAAACAAACTTCTTAGTTTTTTCTTTAGATTGCACCACTGACTGAAGATTAAGCTGTAAACAGCCTGTCAAACAACATGTTTACTTTAAAAGGAGATAATAAAACTGGGATAAACTAGGCTAGGTGGCTGGTGTAGCAGGGTTTAAACTAGAATAAACTGGCTGGCAATAAACTCCTGTGTGTCACTCTCGTTGCCCAAAGGTCAGATACATACTCAAATTTGAATTCAAAGACCAACGGGAAGTGAACAAAAATGTATAGATACATTTTTTATTTTTCACTTTTCAACTGTTCAATGAAAAATTATTGTAATATAAAACAACAATAAGCTTTGATGAATAGTTAAAAGTGTAGTTATCAGGACATGGCACAAAAACAACTTCCAAAAACAGCCTTTTAAGATGATTTAAAGCATGATCAACCTAAATGTGAATCCAACTAGCTAAAATACAATTAAGTGCCAAAGTTGTGATTCGCTGTAATTTGATCCGTCTGAGCATTTACAGAAATAAGTACAACACAACAGAGACTCTCTTCCAGTGATCCTTTGTCCAACAGCACAAAGAAAGGGCTCCCATCCCAGGATTTGTGAAACATGGCCTGAATCTTGGGAACCTTTTAGCACAAACACAAGGAGTGTACAGACCAGACTTTGGGCTAACAGTGGGAGTTGTCACACCATGGCCTGCACACCGTTATTTATGGTCAGACTACTTTCTCTTTACCACTGTGAGCATGCAGCTGGTCAGTGGGAGAGGGGGCTGGTTTGACTTTTTTGTCTGATTCAGAACCCTCGTTTACAATAAAATGGCCACAAATCTGAGGAAGAACGCACATTTAATATAAAACAATACCACTTAAAGGCCCATTGGAAAAGATTTAACTTTATTAAGGGTCGTTTCATTTAGGATTTTGACATTATAAACTGCCACGTGACCAAAAGTGACCTAATTCAGGAAAAGGGTTACAAAACCCATGCTTAAAGCTGACTTCTGCAGCTTTTAGTGGGTAAAATGGACCACTGTCTAAATGCTGTACGTCGCATTTAAACGTTGTAGCCAATTAACAATATTGTTAAGTCCAGATATGTTTCTTCTACGCAGCTTTGCAACAACCGCGTCATTCCAAAAAACCTGAAGCCTAAACGCTGTTTCAATGGCACGGCCCCCACGTAGCTTTTTACGACCACAGAATTGCCCATGCAGGCACCACTTCTCTCTTTTTTTTATCCATTCTCTCTGCAAAATATGGCACGTAGTGGGGGTGGAAGCTAACGCGAGCTAGCTGCCCCGCTAGCAGGCGCAGATAATGGCAACCGTTTCATTGATGTGGGCGAGGGATGAGTCAGAGAAAAAAAAAAACCCGAGCACACACAGAAAGTCACACTGAAACGGGTGAGAGTTGAAAATGACGGTAATTGGGTTAAGGACGAATACCTCGACTGACCTTTGCAGACAGTCCGGGCTCTGTGCAGCACAGGCGAACTCGCAGTCGACCCGGAAGATGTCTGCCGAAGAGGCCCGGCGTGGGAATTATTATTGGATCATATGAGAAGCACCAGAGGATGTGCACACATATTTGATGAGCGGTCACGGTTGTTTGTAACGTGGCAAAAAAAGTCGACATAAAATCTATTGAAACAAGAGTGTGTGCTTGTTTTACTCGTGAATTACGTTTTTTTTTATTGACAATAAAACTGCCCTTTTAAAAAGTTATTTATTTAGTTGTGTTTGGCTGAATTTGGGGAGAAATAATATTTTGATAATGCAAAAGTGAGTGGATTATAGAAAAGACAAAGCACAACCGAGAAAGTGTTTTTAAAGTTATATAAAAACAACTTACTGAATAAATGTTATTTTTTTATGATAACCCACCCAAAAAACTATTTGCCTGAAGTTGCAGTTCTGTATAAATCCGCTACGAGGCGCTGTAACAAAGGTTTATATTAGTGTTGTAGGCTTTGCTGGTGTATTTGCAGGGCCACAAGTAAGAACATGGCAGGCAGACATCCATTCAAAAAGATTTTGTGTGTAAATATATTTAACCACAATTTAATTCCATATCAATTTGATATCATAACATTTCAAATGACTCTCTCAATCTCTGTCACACCAACAGCTAATTTCTGCTGAAAAAGATTTTTGGACTTGTTAGGATTTGTGTGACAAGAGGTTTCTTGGCTGTGTCTTTCTGTGTGCAGTTTGCATGTTCTCCATGTGTATGCGTGGTTTTTTTCTCCCGTTACTTCTTTCACATTCTTTCACCATGTTAAGTTAATAAACAACAGCCCCGTTGGCAGCTGGGATACTCCACAACTTAAATTCATGAATAGAGCAGCTTACTGATCGAGTGTCTGATCAAGTGAAATAGACCACAAACGTGTGTCAACTTCTAACTCAGAACTCATTAAGGGCATGATGCGCACAGGCATGTTTTTTATTGCGCAATAGGTCTATATGAAGTAGAATTCTTTTCACACATGAGCGATCATCTGGTTCTCTTTATAAGACTCAGTGTGGAATGTAGTTTTGCTCTGGCTGGTTCTCATTGAAATGTTTCGCCCCATGCAAACTTTGCAAGAGTTTTCTAACAATCTTTTGACTATATTCTTCTTCTTTACTGTCAATGGCAATGAAAAAATAATTAAAGCAATGCCTCTACCAATGCATTGGTAGAGGCAAGAAGTATTATGACATTTTCTGACAGTAGGTCAGGTGTAAATTCTCTCTGAGAACTCTCACCTCCATTTTAGTCAGTTCATTGGTTTGTTTACAGGCTGTCTACTGTTCTGAAAATAAAGGTGAAATAAGAATAAAATATCAACCAGAAATCTCAATGATGTCAACCTCGATAGCTGTGAAGATACCTGCTTCTTACACAGAAGACTAAACATGTAGATTTACGTGGAATGTAAACTGTCATTTGATATGTTCAATAAATGTTTGATTATCAATGTGTTCATATAACACTGTGTTTAGATGAGGGACGTGGATTAAACATCTGTCTCGCTTCAATAATCTGACCCGTAGTTTTAATATTGTGCACTAATTTGGTTGCAGTGCATCAGGTCTGTGTGGCTTTCCTGTTCTACTTCAGCATTTTTATTTTGAATATTTGTGGTCAAAGATAGATGTATGTTAGTGTGACACTTAACACTTTGTTTCTGTTGGAAAGAATTTATCTTGATATTCTAAGACTGAGGGAGTGACTGAGTGAGGATAAGTGCTTTGACCTTGCAGAATGTCGCCTTTGGGCACATTTTTCACACAGATTCACAACTTTGACCAGGCATGCACATTTCTAGACTTCTGTCTTTCACCCACTTTGGCGTAATTTATTTCTGTACTACCATTCCCCTTGCTGTAACCCCTATAAAAAAAGGCCTTGGGCTAAACTGCTACTCATGAGCTGTTTTTATTACCTTACCAATTGTGGCCACTTAGCTTTGCATTTCTCCCCTATATAGGCATAATAAATTAATGCAGTAATTTGTAATGAATAACTAACTCAGATGCCTAAGCCTCATGGGTAGCTTAAACACTTCTCTATTCAAGTGACCATTAAATTGATATGAACTTACAGGGATTGTGTAGGGCACTCAGACATGCTTGCTGGTGTTATGCAACCACAAGCAAGTTTAGACAGGAGAAGATCTGTGTGCATGCACAGGTGTCCTTGTGCATGTAAAACCAATTCATTTAAGTGAATACTGCACAAATTATGATAGACAAGACAGCAATTTTATCTACTAACTGTGCTGTGTGTGAGAGAGTGAAAGAGACACAAGGAGAGAGTTTTTTCTGTAAGAAAATGCTTTGAAGCTGCAGTAAAATTCCAGGACTTTCCTGTTAACAAGCTGGGGCTATAATGTGAACCAGGAGTGCGTCTGTGTGTGAACAGATTGTCTATCCAGTCAGTCTCTCTGCTGGTGAGAGGGGTAGACATCACGGCAGTCTTCACTGTCCCTTTAGCTTCAAGATTCCAGATTTGATTCACCCCTTTTTTCTGTTTGCAGCAAAAATCAGACAGACTCTGTATCGGATTCAAAGCATGGGAACTTCACAGCTGGACATTTTCTCTGTATTTTAAACCCTCAAGCTACTTTTAGACATCTGGCCATTCTTTTCAGTTCGTTTCAGAAACAACACTGCCAAGAACTACCAGCTGTGAGACGATGTACCAGAGGAGACTGCATGAGCCGCTGAGAACTTCCAGCATTTCTGCGAACCAGTTTGTCGGCTCTTCAGGAAGAATGCTTCATTTTTACACCTCAAACTATCTGGTGTTATTATTTGCTTTATGGAGCCTCAGTTGCCCGGGTTTGCTCACTGCGTGGCCAGGTGTCGCTGGAAGCAAGCCAAAGCACGAGTTGGACCCAAATGTAAGAGACTGGGGGGACTATTCAGACCTCCCTCCAGGAATGGAACATGGACTGGAGCTGGAAGAAGACAGAGAGCATGAAGACAACAGAGGAGTTGGAGAGACATCCAGCTTGGTGCCAGAACTGGATTTCCTGGCGGATTTTGCAGGCAAGATAAATCAACTAGTGACTAACTGGTCTATTTTGTTAGTATACTCAACCTTTTCCAGACAAAAAGAAAAACTTTCTTGTCCTGCAGGTAAAAAGAGGTTGTGGGTCATAACAGCTCCCTCACACAATGACCACTATCTTCGCATGATGGAAAAACAACTTGAAGATGTGGAGCAGGTACTGTGAGGAGATTTTAAGACTGGCTGAGTATTTATCTAAAGCATTTGGTATACATTTCCAAATTTTCAATGCCCCAGTAATTCTTTTAGATCTAAATTAACTTCCATTCTGTATCCATATGTCTCAGAAAGGGCTGAACTGTCGCTTAGCAGAAAGAGACACCTTCATCATAACCATAATCCAGAACGCCATGATGGAAGGTCGCATTCAGAAAACAACCTTTCAAGGGGATGCCATAGTGGAGAACCTGGACCCGGACACCGTTACCAAATTGCTACACTATCTGGAGCTTACCGGACAAGTAAACCAAGTGGAATCTCTTCTTTTTATCATATATTCTTTTTAAATGTCTCTGTATTCATGTGTATTTTACATGCATATGAGTTGTGTTTAATGGCCACTGTTTCAGGAACACACATTCACCATGTTGGTCATAAAGAAGAACCTTCGAGTCAGTGAACGTTTTCCTTATCCGGTCCGAGTTGAGGCAATACTGGAGCTCATTGATCAGTTTCCAATAAGGAAGCTGGAGAAGATGACCAGAAAAGGATCCAACGTAAGGTAAGTTTTAAACAGACCCCGGTTTCAAATAATCTGAGTGGTTTTGCATGTCCTACATCAGATGTTTATGTAGAGAAAGATATATTTTAAAGCCATGACTGACAGAAAGTATATGTGTGCGCATCAGTGTTTGACCATACAGTGTAATGTGAATATACACCTTACTCTGTTTTAATTTAGGTGCAAAATCACAAAAAAGAAGCGTGTCGTGAAAAGAAAAAAGTTGATGAAGAAGCTGGACCTGAGATCTCAGAAAGGAGGAAATGTAACCTCTGTGCTGGTAACACAACGGAAGCCTCTTGTAGACAAAAAAGCTGCCCTCAAGAGTAAGATCCAGGACATACTAAATGGTCGGTCAAGATTTGTTATCCGTAAGGAGCCAGCCGGATCCAAAAAAGGGAAAGGGTTGAGCAGCAATGACTTGGAAACATTTAAAGTGCCCAGTCTTCCATCGGATCTAAGGAAAAATGAGGAAGTGGAGAAAAAAAGGTACGTTCTGTTTGTGTGCTTAGTGGAATTTTCAAACATAAAAAATGTGTGCATGCATATATGCAAACAGAGATAAATAGATCATTCAGAGTGGAATGTTTGGCAAAGTATTTCTCATTGCATCAAAGGGCTCACTCCACAATGGAAGAAGGAAGAAAAACACATGGAGGGCAAAAAGATGAGGATAAAACAGAGCCAAATGTAAAGCCTGACACAAAAAACAAGGAGACGGAGAGAAAAAAAGGCAAAGGAAAGAAAGGGAAAAGGGGGAAGGGAAGAGGGAAAAAGTCTAACAGTGAGGACGAGGAGAAAACAGCCCTGAAGAAGTTTTTGGACAGCTTAAGAGGTTCCAGAAGGCTGATGGTAAGAACCTTTTAAAAATTAGTATGTTCTCCAAAGTTATCTTCTCTTTCTTTTTCTCTTTGGTATGTATTTAATTATTCCCCCAAACACTACTGCACAATAGTCCAAACATTAGAGATGCAGCTTATCTGATCCCTCCAACAATAAGTCTGTTTTTGTCTCCAAGCTGATCTCAACACCCAGCAGGGATGCAACCCTGTACATTCAGCTGACGGAGATGATTGAAAAGCAGCACTGTGAGCTTGCAATCAGGAAGATCACAGTGGCAACCATTGTGGGTGAAGGAAGTGACATCACAACCTCGCTGCACCACCACCAGCTCGGTAGGAAGTTTACACGACATAGCCACTGAGGACAGGGTATGGCTCAAAGCTAATACTGAGCATGCTACGTTAAAAAAAAAAATTATCAGCACAACTGTGGCTAAAATGTTGTGTTATCCTACCATGACAATCAGTCATAACAACACATCTTCAAAAGGAGAGCAAATGTGCAAAGCACTTCTGAGTTATCTTATGTCCGGAGAGGGACATCTCTGTTTGGCTACAACTTAAAAGTAGTTGTTTTTTTAAACAAAGAAAACTGATACAAATTTAGAAAATTTCAGTATTTTATCCCAAAATGAAGGTATTTCTTTCTGATGTGCCGATCTTGCAAGCCACTTCTTTTTAAAAGGCACTAGCTATGCTTATATGAGCTAATTATTTCAAAGAATAATCTTTTCAGCTAGGCGTTGATCAAAATAAGAACACTAAAAGTTTTTTTTTCTTAAACAATGGGTCAGCATAGCGTTGCTTATCTGTTTATAATATTGTGTGTGTTGTCTTTGTGTTGGTTTCAGAGTCAGAATTGTCTCCCAGTGACCAGTCAGAACAGTTCTTGGACTCTGGCATGATCCCTCTTTTGAGAGCTGAGTTTGATCTGTCATCCTCAGACCTCTTTTCAATGACCATCACGGATTATGACATCAAACCCAATGTAAGAAAAGGTCTGGCATGAGCTTCCTGAGCCTCTCATTTCAGCTTGTTATGCACTGATTGCTTCTTTTGGCCACCGCCGTTTCTCCTGTCTGCAACTTGAAACATTCTAATGTCTATCGTTAAAAACTGTTATTAATAATATAACAGTTCATTTTAATAAACATTCTATAAAGTGTACCAAATACAAAGTTAAATACACTAGACAAATGATCTGTCTCTTCTTTTGGTGAAAATCTACCCTTATCTTTTCCAAAGAGAGTCTTTGAGGCCCCTCCATCAAGCTCAGCTTTCTTCGAGTACATTGACAACTTTCCTTCCAGGATCACAGAGAAAGAGAGAGAAGGAAAAAGTCCTCATATCTGCTCAAAAGACATGCAGGACCCTACAGTTCAGAATTCACTTCTCAGGTGGAGTAATTCAACACCATGCTTTGATTTACATCAATTAGCAAAGCAGAATTCTGCAAACTGCATAACTATGTCAATCCATTTTATATGTATGAGCGTGAAAATCCAATTATGAAATTATTGTTATTATTGCTGTTGCAGATATAAACATATAAGATAATTTAGTAGCATTTGCTTTTGGTTTCACCCCTCTAAATGAGTGTTACCATTAGAAAATGTCCTGAAATTGAAAAAGTAATGGAAAGTTTGATATTCTGCATGCTACTAGTGGATGTTAACTCATTGGTATTTAATATTCTCATCAAGGTTCATGTCGAAGAGGAGACTTCTGCTGATCTCTGCTCCCTCTGAGGACGACTATTCTTTCCAACAGCAGCTCTCTGCTCTCACTGGACAGGAGTGTGAGTTGGGTGAGTGACATGACAAAATGTCTGATTTGTCATTTTGATGCTCTATGGAAACATTGTGGCAGGAGCAGGGTTTGAATTTTTAACCTCAGGAAATTAAAAGGAATTTATTGAAAGATGTGTGTTGCCTTACTGACCAACATTACAGAATTAATATAAAAATGGTAACGAGTACATGTTAAAGAGAATCATTTTTGCTGGGGAAACTGGCAGTTTTACATTTTTTTAGGCTCTTCCCTAAAATATTACTTCTTGGGCTTTTCCTCAGGTATTCGCCATTTCGCCATGTTGAAGCTGACTGGAATTGGAGAGAAAGCTTCTGGCACTGTGAAGCTATTTCCCTTAAATGGTAGGTAAATCTGATGTGAGACAGTACAGGTGCATGGGAAGGTAGTTTAAACATAGATTTGGAACTTAATGGCAATAATATGTACACTATTGCAGGTGGTCATTTTGAGTGTTAATATAAAAACTGAATACAATAAAGCGTTTATTTTGATTTCCTCCCTGTCTGTATGATTTAAAGTGAATTACTTAGCTCACACTATGACGTCCTTTTCCCAGGTCGTAGTCAGAGTGAGGTTGAGCTGTTATCCCGTGACGTGGTCAACAGTTTGAGAGAACAGCTGAAGATCAATAAGGACTTTTTCAGCATGCTGGTTGTCGGGAAGGACAGCGATGTCAAGGCATGGTTCCCGTCACCCATATGGTCCTTAGATAACGTCTATGACCTGGTGGACTCTATGGAGCTCCGTATCCAGGAGGCAAAGCTCCAGAGGAGGCTTGGGATTCACTGCCCTGATGACAGAGGAGGAGAAAGCAGCGAAATAGGACACCACACTGGATAAAATGGAGTCAGCAAATCAGTTAGAAAAATAACAAGCAAACAATAAACAGTGTTATGAAAAGTAACCTTTAAAAGATCCACAGGAAGCAGTGCCTAACATCTAGGTTGGTAAAGCCGATGCTTCTGTTGAATATTGTAGAAAAATGCAGAATAGAAAAAAGCTGAGCAGTGAATGACGGAACTGATTTGATTAAATTCCCATTAAAAGCATACGTGCACCCTACATCTGTTCTCTCGAATAGCGGGTGATCTGGTATCATTGGCCATATACAGCTGTGGCAGAAAGACAGATCTAATCCTTTCCAATCCAATCCAGTCCTATCAACAAAAAGAAAACCTTTTGAATCAAACAACGACAAGGTTTCTATGTTGAAATATTGTATTCCTGGAAGAGAGAGTGTGTTTCAATCAAACTATTTCTTTTTTTTCTTTCAATGTGATGCAAACATCTGGCCTTCAAATAGCCGCAGCCTGTGGGCTTCTCAGGGTAACTGAAACAAGGGGTTATCACTGCTGGGGCTGCTATGAATAGCCAAGTTTGACTTGTTTTAAAAGATTCTCACAGTATACTTACAGGTCATGCTTATAAAGATAAGATCAATACTTATGCTCGTATACTATCCGACTGCATGTAAACTGTAAAAATGATGTCCACAAGAAAATCAGTCACATTTTCCAAAAACGGGTTTCTAACCTTTCCATAATCCTTTTCTAAGCCTAACTAAGGTGTTTTCATTTTGGATCATAATCAAGTTATGTAAGGAAACCACAATATTCTAAAAGAGCATGTTTACTTGTAAATACGTTAACCACAGAAATGGTATCCATGAAAGTCGTAGCAGTATTGGAAAATAATGTATTTTAATAGATAACACAAATATTTTCCAAAGTCTAACTGTTCAGTTCTGTTGTCCATTATCATTTTATTTTAATATCATAGAAAATTCTAAAATAAAAGTACCACAGCTAGCATTCTCATATTTATTTCTGTGTGTGTGTTCTTTTTCTAATTTCATTTGGTGTTTATCGAACACTGATGATTTATAGCAACCAAAACACCCAATCCTGAGTTTTAGCTTAGCAACCACTGATTACGGAGCATTTTTAGCCACTCTATACCTGCCAGCTGCTTTAGGTGACCCCCAAAGCATTCCTTGTTCACCTTGAAAACTTGACCAACTTGAAAACCAGCCTTTGCTCAGTGTTTGTAAAGGACACTTCATGACTAGAACAGGAATTCAAAAATACATCAGCATGCAGAGGATGGTAGAGTAAACAAATCATCCTTAAAATATGAGTAAAAACAGAAGTAATTCTCCATGGTGGCCTTTTGCAATGGAGCCACATAGTGAGAATCTGCCCTCACTCAGTGTGTGCTCTTCATAAAGAGGATTGAAATATGATGCCAGCTTGTCCTAGTCTGGAGTTTGATCTGATTATATTCAAACTACCCTGAGCTGTGTTTGCAGTTTTTCCCCAAATAACCTGTGTGCACACCACACTAAAATGATGGGCATGGCCAAAATAGTTCTTTGCCCGTATATATAAGCTTTGCCTTAAGATGCTGATGTTATTGTTTAGGTTTAAGCGCTCTTGTGGCTTCTCTGGACAGCTTTTATGAGCCTCCTGAAAGGCTGCAGACGGCTGTCCACCATAAATACTGATTACAATTCTACTATCCTCTTTCCAAAAGCCACTTGTCATTGTTTTGTTTCTAACTGTTTCTAACAGAGTTAACATCAGTTAACAAGCGCAGAGGGAAACTGCAGGGAGTTGGCCAGAGAGAGATCCATGTGATCAAAGGCCGCGGAGAGCAGAAACTGTGACACTCACAATCACACCTAACACACACACTAGTAATAGAGGAAGTAGCCAGTTGTAGAAGCATGCTAATGCCACAGCCTGACTTAGAGTTCACATCTCCCCCACAGAACAACACGCGCACGCACCCACTGAGCGTTTCTCTTTGTCAAACGCTCTCTCTCTGCACCTCAGTGCCTTTATCTCTTTGACAGCAACAGAAACTCAAACAGAACAAACTCGCCAGCACTTCATCCAGCGACTGTTCGAGCTTTGCAGGGGAAGCGAGGAAAGTTGTTCTCAAGATGGTGAGTAAAACTTCATTAATGCCTTAAACTATTCAAAACTATCTCCCCTTTTCTTTTTAAATTATACTCACTCTATGGGAATGTAATATGATTCAGTTATAACATTAGAGAGCCAAATGTTTATCTTTGTAATAAAACTGTCAGAAGGTCATGTATCGTCATACTAATTCATTTGACATTAGCCATTTGTTTGGTCAAGATACTGTATATATAGTGACTAGAAAATAATTATTTTCAAGTCAATATGACCTGGACTAAAAACTAATTTTTGCAGTTTGATAGGCTTTAGTAATCTTCAATCTTTCTGTTTTTACAAGTGATGTAACCTTAATTTACCATTATGCTCTCTCAACTGAGTATTTGGTCAATGTTGTCATTTTTCCTAAGAATAACTTACAGATAAGAGAGGAGTTCAAGTTTTTGTGTCAGTAGATTGAGCAAAGCTTACTTTATCTTCACTTTTCATCACACTGGAAATATAAATTATGGTTCCTCTTCGTTTGTGTGAAATATCTCTTTCTTTTCTGTCATTGCATAGCCATCTACTGGATTTCAGATATGCTTGCTCCAATATCTTCCATAGAAGTGGCTTTTCATCATATGCCTACATATAATAAGCAGTATTCCAAGGAAACAGTGTTGTAATTTTCTCTGTTTACTTTTAGTTTCGGCTCTTTCAAAGGTTAGCAGAATTGGTTCTACATTGAACTGTTATACCCGACGAAGGCTTTCCCGTATTTCACAAAACCTGCTGATTTTCACAAAATTGCAACTGCACTGCCAGGATATTTCGAGAAGCAGCAACTGCAGCTTTCTGCCACACATTAAGTAAATTTTAGCTCAATGTGGTTAAAAAAACAGAAGTAATATAAGGAACATGACTCCATTTTCTCCCCTCTTTTTTAATATTCTGCTACATTTTAGGCTTACTGTCCACGTATTTGCACATCAGGATATTACTGGCAGTGACACAGAAGTGACATTTCCTCCGAGACACTTTCAATGGGTTGGACCTAACCTTTGTTGAGTGGTTGTCTTGACTGAGTGGGAAGTGGCATTTCTATAATATACAATTAGACCCCTCAAACAATCAATAGAATAGTTACCTTAACAGTAACATTTATATCAATTTTTAAAATCCAATTTATGAATATGAATACAAGAAAAAAAAATTGTTTAGATCAATGGATGAATCAGTGGTTTTTAATTTTGTTAACATGTTCAGAAGCATTGCATTCGGTATTTAATTGTATTAAGTAGTCGCACGAACTTTTCCCTTTCCAAGAGAGTTCCAAGTGAGCCTGAGAATGAAAGTTCAGTAATATTGCTGCGGTTGCACTTGGACTGTAGTTGACTTGATTTAATCCGAAAACAAATTCATTACCTTTGTTCTATAAAATAAGTAGGAAATTATATTCTGCATACATATTCTTTGCCTTACGCTTGCGGTACATTGACATAGATATATAGACATAGACTACAGTCTATTGAAAGTAAAAGCATTTTAACTTCCTAAAGAAGGTTTAAAACTCTGAAGAATAAGTACACTTTCTGAAGAACTAATAAAGAATAAGCATGTCAAATCCAGAAATTCTTCTGATCCATGCTAATTTTAAACTTGACTAAGTAAAATCAGCATCCAAAACCATTTTGACATCATTATTATTTCAAGAGTCACTTGAGCTCATTTTCATTAGACGCAACTGCATGAATTAATATACATATGAATACCTAATGACTTCACCAACATATTCCAGCAGATGCTCATGGGGTTTCACCTCCTGTTAAGCTTTGCACTGCACATTTGAACTTTCCATTAGGAAATCTTCCCTTGCTTTTACGGCTGTTTAGCTGGACTAGATGCAATTGTATCCTCATGCTCTTATCTTCACTTCCTGCTATGGTGTCTCTGATTCCAGTCAAACCAGCCTCATTAAAATAGGTGTGGCTGCTATTTGGTCAGTCTAGTATGAGACTCTCTGAAACTGCTCAATAACTAACACTAAACTGTCAACATTTCAAATAGTTTGGATGCAGACAATAGTCATTCATGTATTAGTCTGCAGCACTCTCCTTGTAACTCATCATATGTCATATATTATGCGTTTAAATGTGTGATCACTCATGGCATAGCCAAAATAGAACTACATATTTTTCATATTTCCAGGCAATGTAAACAAATTCTGCTCAACACATCACACCACAAATAATTTGCCTCCTGACTTGAATGATTTTTCAAAACAGGCATAATAGATATTCATCTTGTTTTATTCAACCATTAACACATGACCAAAGTATTTCTACAAATTTTTAGCAGTATGCTTGGCTATATCAGATTAACTTAAGTAGTGTTTATGATTTAGACCAGCCAGGAAGTGGTTCTGAAGGTGTAAAAACCTATCTATATAGGTGTTACCTGCAGGAAAATCCAGTATCAGTTGCATTTGGTCAATTATATACATTTTCTTTTTTATTTGGAAAAATTAAAGCATTTGTCTACTCTCATCTGTTTCCGAATGAATTTCAAGATTTCCCAAACAATAGTGTAAATATTTAATAAACATTAATGCACCCTGACAGGACTTTTTTGATTTTATTCAGAGCTACTATAGAAATGTGTCCCTAATTTTTGCAGTATTAGATGTGGCAGACATGAATGCACTTTGTAAAAGTACCATGTGAATAAACACCTTCAGTTATCTGATTCGTCTAACGTTTAAGTGATCCTTTTCCAAGAATGTTTTTCTAAGGCACAATCCCTCTCGTTCTGCTCTGACATTCTCAGGACAACAAGGGTGACGTCCGGTCAATCATGGCTCGCTTCCAAGCCAGCGGGGCAAGCGTTGATGAGACCTCCAGCACACCAGGTGGACGCACCAAAGCACCCCTGCATCCTACTCTCTCCTCTGGCCCGGCCGTACAAAGGAAGCCTGTCTCAGAAAGTATCTCGGGCGGCCCGATAAACACCGCTCCGAAACCATCCTTCCTGAAAAACAAGGCATCCACTAAAAGTGACACAGACATACAAGAAACAACCAAAGCTAAAGCACTGGCTAACAGATTTGCCAACATCAATGATGTCACTAACACCAGCAACAAACCTGCCTTCAAACCAAATCTTCCTCAGGCGTCTGAAGCTAAAGGGCCCGTACAGAAGCCTCTGTTAAACAAACCATCCCTCACTGCCATGTCCACACCTGATTCCAAACCTGCTTTTCCAAAACCTGCTTCAACATTTAACCCCAAGCCCAGCTGGGTAAAGGAAGACAGCGGTGGTGGTATAGCACTAAACGCTGGTTCAACACCACCCAAAGCCCCTAGTTTACAACAAAAGCCCCACAGCAGCGTATTGAAATTACTGCAGCAGAGGGAAGAACAAACGGAAGCGAACCCCGACTCTCCCAACAAACCTCCACCTGTAAATACCGCTTTGAAGCCGACCACCAACTTCAGGACTGCTCAGAATATGTTCCCAAAGGAGAAGAATGCGGCTGAGCAGACAGAAGATGGTGGGGTTAATAAGGCATCCCTGACCGCTACTAACTCCACGGCTCCCCCAATACCGCCAGCTGGCAAAAAGCCTAGCTTTAGGAAGCACACAAAAGTGTCTCCGCAGGCCAGCAGCACTAATGGAGACCCCGCCTCAGGCCCAAAGCGTAACCCTCTACCCAACGGTTTGGCTTTGGGGGCTGCCCCAGCGAAACCCAACCGACCCCCAAAGGTTAACCTGGAGAACTTGAAGAGAAGCGCTGAAGCCTCTGAAGAGGGTAAGATGGATTACCTTTTTGTGTCTGTCAGTGTACCTTTGTGTGTGTGCGTGTGTGTATGCAACAGTGATGTTATTGACATTTTTTTTTAAATAACTGCAGATTATTTGCAAAGAATTTGTTGAATGTATTTGCAGGGACTACCAGATGGATTACACCTAAACTTTATTTTGCCTCACCTCAGTAAAAAGACAATAATTACCTTGGATTCAGTTTTTACTTAACACTCAAGCATTTTAACAGCTTGTTTTTACTACCTTCAGTATAACAGAACATTGGAGGTTTTAATGCTGGTGATATGATTCAGGTGGAAAAAGATTTTGTCTTTGAAGTTTAACAAATATTGACTTAGACTAAGCTGCAAAGCAACTTAGTCTTCAGAGACATATTTTGTCAGATTTTATTCACACAAAATGTGTTTGAGTAGGATCAATATTTCTCATCTAGGAAAATTCTGTTTTTCCAGTGAGCTGCAATTTACATGTGCACTAACCTTTTTAGCCAGAAAATTGTTACCTCACTGTTGACTGAGATGGTGTGTGAAGCAAATGTCGGAAATTGTTGGGTACAGCTGGAAAAATAAAAGAGAGGGTCTGCTGTTAAGATTCTGACATAGTTACCCAAGTCCCTGAGCAGCTAACAGTTTGTCAGTCTTGTGACTCTCCGAATGTGCTTGTCTAATTTTGTTTTCTCAACTTCATTTCCTTTCTGCCACTTGCAGTTGAGACCTGTAATGTTTAAATTGGAGCCTCTTAAAAGTGTCTCACTGTGGTTTAGTTTGTAGTGCTGTTACTGTCGGAGCAAAGGTCATTCATAACGAAAATACAGCTGTAAACTTTTCTTTTTGTACTTATAAAGTAGTCCTAATTTGAGTTTGCAGACACCGTCCACAGTTAGAGAGAGAAGTTACAGGGGGAAAAAAAACTTGGTTCCTCAATTCACCCAGTAGTTCCCTGTCCTGTTTCATCTTTCTCCTCCCCTCCGACTGCTGCTTAGACAGCTGAGCGTGTTTCACTACATGGGGAAGTTTCAAATGCTGTTTCAAAATGTGTACCTCTTCTACATTTATCCATAGTCAGAAAAGGAGCGTGAGAGCTGAATAAAATGCAGCAGGTGGGAGACAGAAAAACAAAATAGGAACTCATCAGATATTTGTTTCAATATTCAAGACATGAAAGTTAGTTGGGACCAAAGAAACTTGCTGTTTCCCTACCAAGAAATGCATGATGTTGGATGAGGTTCTTACTTTGACGTATGGGTTTTTCTTTCTAATATAATGTTTTATTCAACCTGAAATGTCTGCTTACCAGAGCCTTTTTTGTCCTTCACTAATACATAAACTTTACAGATTTTGTGTGACATCCCATCCTCTCTGAATAATACTCAGATATCATTTTCAAATATATTTGTAAACATTTGTGCAATGAGTTTAACTTTTGTGCTGAAATGTAATTCACCAGATTAAATTATTGGGCTTTTTGGAAATGAATAAAAAATGAAAAAGGTATTTTTCATAATCTTAACCACTAACAGGTCAGTAACATAGGTACAAGTGGTTCAGGGGAGAAACTTTTTTGAGATAAAAAAATTCAAGATGATTTAATAATTTCCATTAAATTGTAAAATATCAAATTCTCAGTAACTGATTTACTGTACAATTATATTATATTTTATCATTACATAACAGTTTTACTGTTACTATACAATACATTTTGACTTATTTTTACTCATATTTCTTTTAAATTTGGCATCAAACAAGAAAAATGCAAATTAAACATGAATGTGCTGTAAGGATTGTCTTCAACAAGCCAGTCTGCTTTTTATGCCACATTTTAATGTTAAATTTAGCATGGAACCATTAATACTTCAAGTCAAATGACCAATCCTGTTATGAAATATTTTTGTGACGTGACTTTAAAGATATGATGTTTTGCTCTAGGTCATGGTTTGAAGAGGCCTGTCGTCCCAACTCCTCCACCATCGCACCCGAGTAACCAGGCCAACCTTGCCATTCCACCTGTACCTCCCCAGCCAGGAATCATGTATGCCACCTAACATGTCATATTCACACTGTAATGCACATTTTCTGGGAAGGACCATATCTAACAGTATCTACATCCAAACTTTGCTCATCAGGGACCAGCAAGATGTTTACGATGACGTTGATGAACTGAGCAGTGTTCCTCCGCCACTGCCGCCGTCTAAAGGTTTAGTAATGGTTGCTGTTTCATGAAGTGTAATATTTCACAGCTGCCGTTTTGTGAGACAAGTATGTGTCACACCACTGGAAGGTATGAAACAGTTGTGTGTTGCTGAACCTTGTACCATGGTTGCATATTTACATAAAAGGAACTACTGTATGTGCTACCAGCACGGCCTGTTTTACCAACAGTTGCTACGTTATTTGCGTGCTATATCTGTCTTGAAGTCACTTTCTGCGAGTGATTAAGAAAAAAATCTTTATTTAGTTTTGTTAAGCACAGCATGTTCTGTGTAATGAACACAAACAGATGAAGACGCTGTCAGGCAGATATCAGTAAAAATGGATCATGAGAACAGTTTATTCACAGGGGTAATACTCTCTTGTCATGTTACTTTGTTGTTTCTGTTCTACAGATCACCCGAGTCAGAGACCAAAGGTGAGACACATCCCCAATGATCCACTCTTACATGATCACAGATTTGCATGGAGAATAATGAGCAGACAAAGGCAGACGGGAAACTCACTTCACTGGTAGTGAATAGATACCACTGTAAGGTGAAGTGACACAGTGTAGTTTGTATTTTGTAGTAAAATTTGTCGGTGTGTATCCCTGTGACACCAGCACACATTAGGAGGGATGCTCAAATCAGATTTTATCATCATCTCCATGTAAATTAAAACACCCCAGCAAAAACCATTCGCAGTTTAACATGTAAGACTTCAATTTTATGTGAAGAGTGAAACGTAAAATGTGAAGTGAAAATGATTGAAATAAACTGTGACATGAGTGCATAACCCCCACAAATCGAATCATTGGTGGGCACATGGAAAGGTCATTCTAAGCTGTTCTTACTATTATTCTTGTCTGACTCTTCTGCTCAGGAAGGAAGTGATGATGATGAAGGAGATATGTATGAACCACTAGATGAACGATGGTGAGAGAATGTTATGCATTAAGTTATCAGCTGTTTCATGGCCACTGCTGACTGTTACAGAAAGACTGCAATGAAAAGTACCATCATTTCATTCAGTTGTTCATTATGTATAAACATATTGATGATGTCGTATCCTGATGTTGCAAAAACATTAAGACATTATTTTAAAAGTCTGTGGACATCATATTGTACCAAGACTACTCTCTGGTGGTTGCTGGGCAACACTGCAAGTCCCCCCAAGTGTGTGTGTGGATCACTCAAAACTAACACAGTCTTCTTCCTTTTTGCCAACTTCTCTTGGTCTCAAAAGGGAAGCAGCTGATAAAAGCCAAGAAAAGAAGAAGGACGACAAGGAGGAGAAAAAACGTTTGGAGGCTGAGAAAAAGGAGCAAAAGGAACGTGAGAAGAAGGAACAAGATGCCAGGAAGAAGTTCAAAGTGTGTGAAAAAGACCTAATGCGCACCAAAACACTTTCATCAATATTTTGGGAAGCTTTTCCTGCTGATGCTTGGATAAGGGGACCGGCACTATAACTATGATTCTGTGCTAATAATATTCTCTGTATGTGGCTGTGCTCATTAGCTGGTTGGAGCCCTGGAGGCCCTTCAACAAGGAAAAGCTCGCGCTGATTGCAAAGGCAGCAAAACTGACCTGGCTCTGAAGCAAGGAGACTATTTGGATATCATTCGTGTTCAGGGCAACCCAGAGGGCAAATGGCTGGCACGGACACAAGATGGATCAAGTGCGTTCACCTGCCATATCATTGCTTTTGCTGACCATATTTCACCCGTCTTCATTTCTTTCCTCTTCCTCTTCTTGACATTTTCACTGTCCCATCTATAGACTCTGTATTAGTGCTTTGTACTCTACCTTGACTTTAACTTTATTGCTCTATAACACTTCATTATGAAGCTGTGGTTCGTTAAATGTAGTCAGACAATACAGCAGGGGCAGCAGTCACACACAAATGCTATTTTCATTCCTCCAGTTGGCTATGTAAAGACCACCTCAGTGGAAATAGACTTTAACTCACTGAAGAACTGCCAGCCTCAGTCGGCCTATGATGGTGAAGTCTATGATGACATCGACGCGGCCACATCTGATAACAGGTACCAGAAAAGTCAGCTATCACTCTATAGGTTCATTTCTATGGTATTTACCTGCAAACACTGGTTGTTCTCCTACATTGCAACAACAAATAAGATAGGAACTTTAACACAGGAGTGCAAACTTTGGATGGCTAATAACACAGAATACCACTGGCACCAAAGGAACCAGTTGGTTTTTTAACAAAATGTATATTGGTCCATTCACAACTTTCTTTCCTGTGTTGATTCAATAACCAAAGAGTCAAACTGATAGTTTTCCAGTTCATCAATAGCATCAACTAATGTTATCAACCAATGGAAATGAGTCTAATGTGCTTGTTCTCTTCTTTCCCTGTTTGCAGTGGTGTCAGAGCACCAGGAGGTAAATTTACTAATTCTATATATTCTGTTTAATTATACTAAATCAAATTATTTGAACATACAAACTTACAGCATTGGATGTGTGCGTCATAACACAACGTATGCTCGTCTTTCAGTTGTTCTACCGCCACTCCCAGGAGAGGATGGAGAAATATATGATGATGTTCTGGATCCAAACCTGGAAGTCAGGTGAGAACTGATTTAGTCATTTAAAAGACAGTTCTTTCAGAGTCAACAAACACTCAGACCTTTTATTCAATGGAGGAAAAAATGTGTCAGAAAAGGAAATGCCAACATTTTCTCGCTGGTTGGCTCTCCAGTCCCTTCGACCCCAGGTCCTCTCTGAAGCCTCGTGGCTTCCTGTGGATGTTTGACCGAAACAGACGTTCTGCCAGCACTAAAGTGTAAAAACCCCCTAAGTAGTAAGACTGATCACAGATCCTCTGTCCACTGCTGCCAATCTCTACTTGCCAGTCATCGTTTCCCTTTCAAGATCTCCTTTATGATGGTGACTTCCTGTTTTCACCAGATCAATGTCTTCACCTCTGTCTGAATAACACTTAACAAGCATGCCTTGTAGTTTGATTATTTCAGTGAAAGACTGAAATTTAACACTGATATGAACGTGTATGTTTGATTACCAATTTTCTCTAAATGCACTAACCTTTATGATTCATTTGCATGCGAGTGCTCCTGGACGGCATGAAAAATCAAACCAAAGTATTACTTGCTGTTTTAACTTTTGTGAACAGCATAGTGATATGATACAGAAATGTTGAAAATTGAAATCGCACTTGATACTTGATGCTATTATGGAAAAAAAAGTCTGAACCATGCTTTTTCTTTTAATGTGCCAGAGTGCCTCCACCCAGCCAGTTTACCGCAGATGGGAACTCAGGTAATGCTGACTGTCACATCTGCTAAAAATAGCATGGCTTCTGACAGAGTACACTACTTTGTCTTTTTAAAAAACATTAACAAGCTAAAGATACATGATCACTTTCACAGAGAGTTTGTTGTTCTTGACTATGTTAGTCTAAAGCAGCTTTCAATATATATTTTCTTTTGATTACCATTCATGTGTTATTTTGCTTGTTTGTCGTCCCATTTGAGGCTGGTTACAAAAGGTAGTTATAGTTCCACAATGATGATCAAGGAGGAAAGATCCACTGAAACTAAGTTTATTTCATGACACCCCTACGAGGGGCTATTATGTTCTGGTTTCTTTTATTTTTTTATTTTGAGATTACTGCATAAAAGCCTAAGTTACCAATGATACTAATCAATTATAGTATCAATTATAGATATAATTGTAGTTTGTAACCGCTTAAAGTAATTACTTATTTCTGGATATTTTTACCCAATAAATGTAATTTGTGTAGAGGTCTTCTTTAGGGAATAAAACATTAATCTGAGATCATTAAACTTGATCTGTGACTCCTAATTCAGAAGAGAGTAAAACAGATACAGATGTATAATTATCAATAACAGAGTATATGTATATCCATGTATTCTACTGAAGTCTGTCTTTACAAACATCTTCTTTGTGTTATCAGACAAACCTGGAGCAGCAATTGATGAGGAGATATACGACGATGTTGACTCTCAAAATGCACCCCCTCCTCCTCCCATAACCAGGTACATCTTAATCAAACTTTAACCCAGAATATTTTCAAGCTTTTCACATTCAATATTTAAATGTCTTTTTAAAGTCAGTAGTGTTTTCTCCTTTTATCTTTTTCAAGCCTTCCAGGCATGAGGGGCAAAGGCAAAACTCCAGACATGGACCCGAAGAAGCAGAAAAAGTTTGAGAAAGAGGAGAAGGAATTCAGAAAGAAGTTTAAAGTTTGTTATTCTCTAAACTAATCTTTTCAGTCTGTAACATGAAATCCCTTCAGTAACTCATAAATTCAAAATTACATTTTTCAACCCGGCGCAGTACGAAGGGGAAATACAGGTTCTGTACCAGGTGACCATCATCCCCAAGCTCACTAATAAAAAGTGGAGCGGGAAAGAGCTGTCCATTAAATCTGGGGAGAAGCTTGACGTCATCGTTACAGCTGTGGACGATAAACTGATCTGTAGGAATGAGGAAGGCAAATGTGAGTATTTACTGCATTTTCTTGTTCTTGGTTGTACTCAGCTGCTCATTCACCCACACACAACATTGTACTTTCAATCGCTGCTTTGTTCTTTTCACCACAAAAGTGTACCATTTGTGTTTGAATTTGAAAATCTGTGTTTTGCAGTTGGTTACGTCTCAACCAGCCACATTGTTTCGGAGTAAGTACCACAAGTATTCACGCACAAAAAGCCAGGAACACTCCTGACAATGTGTTGCCCATACTAATCATATTGATTTGTCCTCAGTGATGGAGAAATCTACGATGATATTGGAGGAGATGGTATGACGACTTATAAAGAATCATTCTGTAACAGATTTCTCTGCAGCAGAAAGACATCAAATTTTATACAAATTCTCTCAATTATTCTTTTTCTTTCAGACTGCATCTATGACAACGACTGAGAAACAAGCCCACACCGGCCTTTTTTATTTCACTCTCACAGTGATTTTCATCATTGTTTATTTATTTATTTTCTGCTGGATGATTTACACTTTTTGTGAGTTTACCTGATAATTAGTTTGTATGTTCATTCTATATCACAGTTTTTCTCAACTTTTTAACCATTTACTGTTCTGTAGACAAACTGGCTTAAAGTCCTAGGAACAATGCAATTAATTTAAAAAAAATCTTAATTTAATAAAATGCTGCATGGATTGATTTAAAGCTGGTATATTATTTGCAGCACCTCAACAAAGTTAAAAACATCATATTCAACATCAGTATTTTGTAATTTCTTTGCTCTTTTATAGTTCTGCTTCTTTTGGACTCGCTTTTTCCACTCCCAGAAATATTCTGAGAATGGAATATATATTTGTACTACAGTACATGAACAACTCAGCTTGACTAACCTTTACTTTACTTATTTCATTCTTCATTTTTGTAACCTAACATCTGTTATGTAAATCAAACCACTAACTACTATGACTGCTGATTTTAAAAAAGAAATTCTAATTCAACCTTTTTCATTGCAAAACTGCCTCTGATAGATTGTATATACAATTATGGCATGCCTAATAACATTTCTCATGCATCTGAGTTTGTCCTGTTTGTCCAAAGCACTTTCTTAAATGGTGTGGTTGTGGCTAAAAACATTTCACATCAATGTGCACTGAGATATAAAGTCTATGAACCTGACATATGTTATAGAGATGCATGAATAATTTGTTGTATTGCGCTCTTGGTGATACTTTTGTTAGACACTTCCCGTAAAAAATTTTTTCTTACAGCTGCCATCCCTACGACTTTACAAGGCTTGCAAATGTGTACAGTTAATTCCGAGGACATGGAAATAAATCAATAAAGACCTGTTAACACCTAAGCCTCAAAATTTTTGTATGGACTTGTTGTTAATGGTAAACACAAAATGGCCATAAAAAAACTCAGGCATTTGTCCATTTTGAATAATATTTAGAAGTTATATGTTCAACAGATAATAATTATTTTCTATCAAGCAGTTTAAAATGAAGATTTTTTTTTTTATTATGTTTTTGTGGCAAGAAATTACAACTGTGTTTACATTGCAATTGCACATGATTTATATATTTTGCACATTTATTCCAAACATAACGAAGGTGTGGCGGTGTCCAAACTTTTAGTGTAGATACACGTGCATATTTTTTTATTTTCACATGCGTGTAAGAAAAAAATCCTGAAAAAACAAAAGAAAAGAATATACATTTTAGGCGTTCTTGTGAGAAGCAAACGTACCTGCTGGTTTTCAAGGATAAATAAGGAAGTAACTTTCTTCCTCGCTGAATTAGAAAATGTACTTCCGTCACATCCGGAAGTTGTGTTTTGGCTTAATCCATCATGGCTCCTCCAGTCGCAGTGTCACCGCTCATTAAGGTAATAAAGTAGATAATTGTGCCTTGTGGTTGATGTAATAAAAAGAGGAATATGGGAAAAGTTATCGGTTTCCACTCAGCACATAGAAGTTTGCGAAGTGACCGTTAGAGGTGTCTATCCTTTTTGCCAGCTCGAGAGTTTTTTTTGCTACCCGTGACATTGATACGCATGTGAACATTTCTTAGCAAAAACAGCGACAAACTTAAACTATATTCCGTCTAAGTCATAAACAACTCTAGCGTCATTGAGATAATGGGGTAGAAGTTGGACTACATGTATGCATCTATTTAAATCGCGTTACAGAGATCAGTAACATTCATGTGTCAAATGTACGTGAGAAAAATGGACTTTGACCTTGTTAATATCAGGTTATATCTCGTTTTATTAAACGGAAACAATAAGGTTGTAACAGACCAAAAACAAAAGAAACATGAAAGTTACAGCACACACTCAAGTTATGGCAAGACGTGAGAGTAAATGACATGGAGGTAATTTAAACTTTGCGTTCACTCAGAGAAGCAGTGTAAATACGGTTAAATGAAGAAGTAAAAGCTTTCCTCACCACGTTTCTCTGCACAACTTGTGACAAGGAATAAATAAACAAAATGTGTGTCGACTTTCGTTTCAGACGGCCAGATGGTCCGCTTTACTGCTTGGTGTGTTCTATGGCAAACAGAGGTTTGGTAAGTTTCTGTGTGCGCATGCGTCAGACCATGTTTTCATCAAACCGCCAAAAATCATCTAATTCCATTGGTGTCTATATCGGCTGGATTGAAGATTATTCTGTATTGAATTTATGGCAGGGTGTACGAAAATGTTTAGATGGTACTGTGGGAAAAGATAAATGCTTCTAAATATGGACGGGTTCTTCCAAGCCATGTCCTTCCATTCAAATTCTCTCTTTTAAATTTCTCTCCTCATGTTCAGGATAGTACCCTATGGAACAAGTTAATAAAGATTGCATGTTAACAGTTTCTTAGTTATAACAAATGCAAACGTAAATACATTTAAATGGACATTGCTTCAACCTTCCAGACTTCTGGACATCAAAACAGTCCTTTTGCAAAGATGAGACATCTTAGAAAAGCATTCTGACTTGACATTGGGAAACAAAATGATGGCACAAGATGTCTGAATTCCACTTTGCTCTGCAGATTTTAAGCTAATAGTCTATCAATGCTCATCTGGCCTTTTGCATTCGGAAATGTCTCATTCAAGTTATTTACATTCAAGAAAAAGTTTTTGAGTGCTTGTACGATACTATCAACTCATTGAGGAAGGATATTTTTCTCTTAAAGGAATACACAATTGACCAGTGTTGTTTTTGTTTAAGATTACCTGAAGCCAATTGCTGAAGAGGAGAGGAGGGTTGAGGAAGCAGAGAAGAAGGTCCGTGAGGAGCAGGAGCGCATCTACAAAAAACTGTCCGAAGGTAACAACGGCAAATATTTCATTTTTTCAACACTAGATTGTTTGTATGTGGCACCACATCCAAAAGTGTCTTATTTCTCTCTCCTTTTTTTTGTTTGCAGAAAACTCTGACACCATCCTCAAATGAATTACCTGTGGACCTGTGTTGATATATTCCAGATTCAATAAAAACAAAATATTTTCAATGTAAGGACTTCAGCAAGCTTGCTTTCTTGTTGAGTTTACCTCATCCACTGAATTGTTTTTTGTTTGTCATTTAATATATTAGATAAGATTTTTTTTAAAAATAATTCGTACAGTTCGATAGACATCCTACAGACACACCGTCTGTGTGTGTGTGTGTGTCTGTCTACGTGTCCTTCAGATGAGCCAGGAGAGGCATTGCTTTAATCCCGGCCTAGTTTAGCTGTAATCCCAGGATTGGGGTCAGGGGCCAGTTGTAGAAAGTGCAGTGTGGACAGAAGTTATCCCTCAATGCTCTTGTGTGTTGTGTAATAATTAAACCTTCATTACAAACTTTAAATCATAGTATAGCACAAGCAACTGCATTGTATGTCTAAATCTACCTATTGAAGGCTAGGACTCCTTTACAGTTCCACCTTTCACCCTCAAGATAGACTATATCCTTCCCATATTTACTAAACTAACTATACATCGCACATACAAATCAAATACTTAAATCGTTCAACGCAAATTCTGACACCTTAGATTTGGTCCTCAATCCGTTGAATATTGACACAGACGGCAACCATGTAAAAATACATTTGCTTTATTTTGGTCATCATTGTACACATAGAGCACATGACGAGGCAAGCATAAAGTACTGACCGGAAAATAAAGTCTATCTTAAAATGTTCTGGGAGTAACCACAGCACATATTAGTTAACACCTAATGCATAGTCATCTTTGATATATGCTCAAACCTCACTGTATTTCCATATGTGGAATATTTTAATACCTGTAAACTGAGGCAAGCACAATAAACTCATAATTCCAGAAGTAAGGTGGGTTAGGTTGCGTGATGACTCTTGCCAGGGTTTGCAGATCTCTAAATCAAAAATAAGCATCTCTATTTAAACTTGAAAAATATCTTCTTATATTTACATGAAGTGAGGCAGTATGTACAAGTCATTACACAAAGCTGAGCTGCTCCTTCATGCTGTCTCTAACAGCTCTGTGCCCCAGGCTTTGTTTTCAGCCGGGCCCTACAGCTCAGTGCTTGGTACTGTTCATATGCAGTCCTGGCAACAGTCCTGGCTTGGACCCTTTTCCTCGAGTTATCTGGGTCTCTCACAACAAAAAAAGATCATCCTCAGAAAACATTCCCTTGATTCTGAGAGGTTGTTTGCAGGTGATCTCAAGATCCTTTGCAGAGGTTAGTTTTTAGTTGGGTGCTAGTTTATGTATAGCTTATTCTTTTAAGCAGTTTCAGTGGATTCGCAGGTCTCACTGTTCAACTACGCACACAATGAGGTCCATATTTCATTTTTACAAATACAGACAAAGACATCTGATCAAGAATTTAACATCAGAACAACAACAATCAGTTTTATCTGGAACCACCTGATATCCTGATTATATCTTATGCTTATGTCAGACATCTGAAATGCTACATTAGTCCATAATCCTATGATACTTTCACCCCCATACAGTATATACAATATAAAGGCATCACAAGCATCTACAGACCTTTGCTGATGGTAAACTGACACATCTATCGCACTGCATTAAAAATTATGACTTGCTGTGAAAATCTACCGGTGTGCAGTCAAGGTAAACAAACTCTCATTTGTAAATATGAATTGACTGGAAGAAGTGAACATGTAAAATCACTTTTTTTAGAGAAATTGTTATACTAATCTAGACCTGCTACATTATTTGGAACCTAGAACCAATCTTGTAATAATGTACAATGTAAGGGTAAAATAGTCCAAACCATTGGAGGAGGATGGCTGGAGCATGAAAATAATCTATTTACAAGAACTTTGTGTCCATTCTGATACTATACATACATTACAGGTGTGCTACTCTTTGTTTCACTAGTTAAAGTATTTACAGTATGTCCTGTTCTGCATGCTGGGTTGAATGATATGCTTTATGAAAAATAGAAGGAAAATATATAAAAGTTGGTAATCATGTACATAATAATGATGAATGACTCAAAGACATACACACAGCACACTCACCCATGTCTAATAAATGTCATCAAAAGATAGGAAAACTATTCCACTTAAAGACAATGCATCTGGTAGTTTTGACTTCTTTTTTCCCTGTTCCTCAGTGAGGTCTTCCCCATGTGTGATGTCCTACCTTATGTCAAGATCAAATTTGAGCTCATGTGGTTAGTATCTCTTCAAGAAAAGAACTCAGCTCTTTTTCTTACAGACCTCTCATTAGGTTTTTATGATTGGAACCAGTGTTTCTTCCTAAAGTCTACAGGGATTTACATTCACACATTTGCATTCCTGACTTTATGAAGGTTTTCTTTCCTTGGCGATCAGACTGATATGTTGGCTGTGGTTCTCAGATAATTCTGAAGTCAGTCCACGATGAGAGTCCACTGACACCCTCATAACTTACACGGGTCTTTCAGCACACGGAGCAGGTTTTGGAGCCTCCGCCACTGGAGGGGTTTGCAGCGGCTATTGGAGAAATAATACAATAGATTATAGGCTCTGAATGTGGATCATTGATGAGCAGCTTTCAGTGACGAGTCAGAAGCCCTCTACGCACAAAAATGCTTGAAATTATAACTTTTTCTGTGTTTTAACTTGTGGCCTCATACATTTTAAGTAATGAAACCAACCTTTTTGGAGCGTTTTCCTGGATTAAGAGATAGTCACACTATCCAACTGAAACATTGAAGGTATTCCCTTCATTGAAGGGTGGTAACAGTGAATTATAGAACGACAGAGGCTGCCCTTAATCATAATTATTTTACGTTTAGTGCAATATCCTGATTCCACTGGCTGCAAACAACAGTATAGTACTTCATTCACCATAACTTGAATTGTGTCTGCCCTTCACACTTTACTCTGATTACTGTGGCAGTATTTCTCTCTCGCCAAACTGTTTTAACGTGAAGGGTCCTTGGGCTTTGGAAAATATTTCTTTTTCTCTAGTTGTTAAAAAATTAGTCTTTTTCATTTAATGAAATTATGGTCCCTTCAAGGATTGTTGAAAACTCATTTTATAATTACTAACAATAAATGTAAAGTGACAGCAACACCTAATTATTCGATACCCTAGGGGGATATCTGAACAGTATTACCCCATTATTGCTAAGCAAATAAGAGGATTAAAATTAGCAGGCACAGAGTACCTTTTGGGGGAAAGAGGGGCCAATTTAAAGAGTCACAGTACCTTTGGCTGCTGCTGCAGCCTCTTTTGCAGCCTTCTCTTCCTCTATGGCTTTGAGACCAGCCTCATACTCCTCTTTTTTAGCATTCCACTCTTTCCTGTTGTTAAGGATGCCATCCAGCATCGGCTGGATTTGTGGGTGAAAGCGAGAAAACTCCTGAACATAAGAGGAACAACAATAAGAGTCAAACAATTAAAAAACTGAGCAAATTAAGAGAAAAATCACAAAAATGTTAAAGATTCAAATAAAATATGCTATGGTTAGGAGTAACGATGCAACACAAAAAATTACCTTGTAGACAAACGTGCAGACAAAGTCAATGAAACCACACTGCAGCTTTGGAAGCTCTGCTGCTTTGTTTCTGTCCATCATGGGCTGGTGACAAAGGCAGAATCAAATTGCAGCTAGTAAATATCTAATATTTGTTTTTCTGACGGGATATATGAGTCTTTGTGAGTTTTTACACAAAAGATAGGGTCAAAAATGATCTGCTCCTCAACATATCCTACTATTAGATACATAAAGCAAGGCAATGCATAGACTTCTATATTATTATCTATTAAAAAAAAGGCCAAAAGGCCAAAGCTGCACCATAATTCTTTTCTTTATATGTCATTCTGAATTTAGTTTACTGCTTTTGCTGGAATTAACATTCTGTTACCAGGCTAAATTTATGTCAGTTTTAAGCTGTTGACAGTCTCATGCTTGACTGTGGAATTATTCCATTGTTGCAGTAGCTTTTTTGTCCAATACTTCCAAATGTCTGATTGTAGCTATGTTTTTTTAAGCTTTGCACAAAGTGAATTTACTGCAACATTCATTCCTTGGAAGATTGGCCACTGTTACTAAAATAATGATGATTATCCCTTGGAATTGTTTGGAAATAGCTTTATATCCCTTCCTGGATTAAGGACAAACACAAACTGCTTATCTGAGAACATCACTAATGAATTTCCTCCTTGTCATCATGTTAGCAAACACCTGAAAGCTACAGAACTTGCCAAACCCTCTGCTACTTTATGCTTGTTTTGATGTCTGATAAGGAGCAGATGCTTTTTTACATCATGCCCTTATATGAAAAAAATCTCTGATGTCATTCAAGACATGTTACGCTTATCTGTTGATGTGTTTCAAACCAAGACACAATCACTCCTACTGGCATACTTACAATGGGTTGTTGCTCTAAAACTGTCCTTTCCAAATCTCCCTGTTCCCAAAACTCTGCAGCCACAGACAAGGCAACCTAAAAAGACGCAGTTATACTTTTAAAACCAGCTCACAAACGACCTGAAAACTAAGTTATCAACTTTCTCATTAACACTAATTGACAGGAGCATCGCTCATCGTTGATTTACATGTTTTTGTTTTTCTCACCTTGCTCTGTACTTCCCAGGGCTTCGTGATAGCAGATAAGTCGCACGCAGTCATCATCATGGCCCTGTAGTGGTAACAATATATCCAGTTTTACAGAAATGCATGAAATCAAATAACCCTGATTGTGTCTGTTGACCTTACATGACAATCTCTTTTCTGGTTGTTTCTAGAGACATGAAGTCCACCCATTTCTTTTCATCTTCATATGTTTTTGAGAGGTCCACAATTTTTTGGAACATGGTTCTCTTCCTAATTGGGAAGAAGGAAATAAAATGCTTTATTCTTGTCCTGCATGTGTTCTAAAACAAAATAGTTACCAAATTACTGAAATAGCTGTTAATTAAATGAGAATGGCACTCACTTGAAATAAAGAGCCAGGTCGGTGGCGATGATGGCGATGTCCATGAGATGAATAACATGATCTACCTGTCGCCTGTTCAGGTTCTGGTATATATTCAGCGACTAGAGATGAAATGAGGGGAGAAAAGCATGTATCATCCAATCAAGTGTCTTGCAAGTACTATTGATTGAAGGTAGTCCTTTTTTCACCTCGTCAGATAGTAGGAACTTTCCAAAATCTAGATGGTGGCGCTCCAGGATAGAGGAGCCATGCAACTTGGCCAGAGGATTACCAGACCTGTTGGGGTGAGGAAGATGACCAAAATAGAACCATCACTTTCTCTCAGTTACAGTTTTATTAGTGAGAATGACCCTGACGCAGATATTGAGAAGTACTAATGAGCTTTAACGCTTTCAAAACCATAACTTCGAGTCACATAAAAGTGTGTAGTGTTAACAGATTAGTCAGCTTGTAGATGCTTATTTTATCTCCAACCTTCTCCGATAAGAAATTGCTATTTGAAACTAATTGAAATGGCACAAGATGTATCAAATGAGATCTGTTTCATGGTTTATTCATTTAATCACCCAAAATAGTGATGTTCCAACCTATGCTTCTAACCAAATTGCACATTTTTGTGGATACTCTCTATCTCCTATTGCTGTTACTCCATACATCAAATCACTGAAAACTCAACCCTAACATCTAGGAGGATTGAAAACCCCCCTTTTAAAATCTGGTGTCGGAATCTTGAGAATATATTCTTAATATTCAAAACCATTACTATAGTACTACAGTAAAACGACCAGAAAAAACTGTTACTGCATTAACCACTACATTTACAAATTTGAATAAATATAGACATGCTCTTATGATTTAAATTAGTAATATTTTATATTTAGAAAAGTGGCTAAAACACATACAAAAAGGGTCGGATCTTCCCATAAACAAAATTATTTAAGTTTAAATGATATTTTCCTAATTTAAGAAGAAATTTAAAAAATTTGCACTTACTTGACCTGATACAAGTTGTTTGTTCCCCTGTGATCAATATCATGCAGGAATCCAGCCGTGACCATGGCCATTACCTCCAGGTCAGTGTAGTATCGCTTCAGCAACCCTGTCTGAGTACACAAAGACAGACGCAAAAATCACAAATGGAGACTCTTCACCACATTCACTGCTCGGCAAACTACCATGAGGAATAACTTTCAGACTTTTGCCCAATCAAGTACAAACTGATACCGTTAATAGCGTAAACATGGTCTGTCCCACGTTGAAGCCATGGCGCCAGTTATGGTAGGTGATCTTTCTGTAACCCTTGCTGACTGAGTACATGAAACGAACCAGCACCTAAATGGAGAGCAGAGAACTGAGCTCTCAAAGTTTAAATGTCAGCTCGTGTCTGCCGCACATGGATCTACTTTTACCTCTTGAGGGACCTGGAACTTCTTGACCACTCCGATTTCGTAGTACATCTGGATGCCACACTTCACCAGCTCCATCTCTGTGCAGTTAAAATCCGAAAAGCGGAACTCGTAGATCTCAAATTTCTTGATCAATGGAGGAAGTTCTTTTTTCTAGGTGCAAATGCACAAAACAATATTGAGTGAGTACTTGTTTTTTGTTTGTGTTTTTTGCTCCAGGCAAATGGTCACCACTGACCTGGTTTGTCACCCTCACACTCCTTTTTATGGGTCAAACTTTCTTTCACTACTACAGAGAAGACTTGTGTACTTGGAGATCAAAGGACACAAGTCTAAGCATTACCAGAATATCGAGGAGCTCCTCTTCTTCACACTCCCTGGGTTCAACGCCATAGACCTCTCTTGTTTTCTGAAAGAAAAACATTCAATTAAATACTTGAGCAGCCCAAAGACCAACCACATTTGAAATAATCAAAAGATACTCAATTGAAAAGCTCATACAGTAAAATGACTCATACTGAGCTTTCTGCAGTAGGATGCTTGTTTTTTGCCGTCTGTTTGCTTAATATTCCAGTGTTAATAATCACCAAATTGCTACAAAACTCACCAGTATATTCTGAATTTCATCATCCCGACATTTCACATGGTAGAGCACCATGTCCTGAGCAATGTCTTTCCGGTTCTCAAGCTTGTTCATCTTGTCATAAGTGTCCGTGTTCAGAGCTGACCATCCAAGGAACTGAGTCAAAGCCTAAAAAAACAGAAAAAAATTAAAATAAATTAAAAATGAATATATATATATATATATATATATATATATATATATCCTGATGTTGACATAATAATAGAGAACAGAGTTTAAAAACCAAACAAACATGATATTAATACATTATTAATGATGATATATTATCATCAATAATTATTATTATCTAATATTTATTTCATACACAAACCAGCTAGGACTTGTGTGGAAAATCATTGTATTATTGGATAGTTTCACATTACCTCCATGAGCTGCTCGTCTTGATCATCAAAAGGCTTTCCATCTTTTCTGTTGTAAAATGTTGCCACGCCGACTATCTCTTCTTTCTTGTTGACGATGGGAAGTGAGAGAACATTTTTTATGGTCCAGCCACTGCTGTCCAGCGGCTCTTTCTGCAACACCAAAGCAACATGACATCACTACATGATATTGACAAATAAACTTCATCTCCGGTTGGATTATTGCAGTTTCATCTCACCTGAAACTGGAACATCTCATCAGCAGCTGCATTCATAATGTTACAAATCTGAAGAGAGGAAAGAGAATGCAGAGATCTGTTTAGTGGATATGCAGCAGTTTTTCCGCAGTTTGTTCGAAGGACTTTGATAAATACTCACAAAACCACTCTCAGCAACATAAGTGGGCAGGCCGCTGCTCAATGCCCAGTGATCTGCTGGTGGACTCCTGTGTGACAGAGAACCAACACACAATTTAAGACAGAGAGAAGAGATTTGCTCCTAACTTTGATACAGGCAATATGCTCTGCTTATGTAACGGATATTCAAAGACTAGCATTATATAAAACTATTACCATCACAAACTAAAAAAACTCTGGAAACTACCTGTCATTTATCCTTTACTATGCTTCTAAAACCAATGCTCACACCTTGATGAATGTTAAAATAAAACAGAGGATTTTCTTACGGTATGACTTTAATTTCTTCTTTTCCATGTAAGATGTAGTCAATCACTTTGTAGAAAATGACCTCCTACAATGACAATAAAGTAGGCGTTAAAGAGAAATAACCAGAAGGTTGATAATAATGCCAGAAATATGATTTAAATGTACCCTGCCGTCAGGAGTTACAGGGCCAGAGTAAGGGGCTTGCTCCCCCATCAGCACAGGCCAGATGTCAAAGAACTCCTGTAAGGACATGGCTGAAAGTTACTAACGTCATCTCACCAAATGTACGAGCAGAACAAGAGGGCAGAGATATAAAGAAAGGAGGTGTACCTTTTCCTTGGTCATGTCAAGTAAACCAACAGAGTAGCGGTCACAGTTGAGGTAGGCTCGGACTGTGTACAAGGCTTTGTGAAACTGTCGCTCAATGTCTGTCAGTTCTTCAAAAACCTTGTTGGCAGACCACAGCAGGAGCTGGAAAACATGAAACACGCGCGCAGCAATGAGTGTTGCTGCAGGATTATAACCGTTCTGGAACTGTTTTGAATACGCGCTGCGTAGCCTGAAGCTTGAAAAAGTCGAGTTCTGTACCTGTCCTTTACGTGTCTCACAGTTGTGGAGGTAACTCAGGTGGAAGATCTTTAAGTTCAGAGAGGCGATTTTCAGGTATTTCATGAACAGCTAAAGAGAAGAAAAAAACATTACACATCATAGTTTTATCTCTGATGTCGAAACATGAATGAAATAGTATAATGCATTGTATGTGTATATGTAGTGGGATGGCATCAGTGGGATGTGGGAAATACACATGTAGTTATGCTGTTAGAGCTCAGTTTTGCTTAGTTCAAGTCACATGAGTTTTTATCAACTGATGTTGATTTTCAAGTCGAAAGCTGCGTTGAATTGCACTTGAATGTCTCATGTGAACAGGACATCTCTGTAAATGGTGATATTCCCCATAAAAATAGAGTACAAATACTGATCCTGTGGCACCTACGGGGTGTCGTATCATTTTACAATACACTGTTCCCTGACTTCACTGAATGTTTTCTTCAGATGTCACCATATATCTTGTTTACTTGTCACATAACCACATGTGACTCTCTTACAATTCGAGAAGAAACCACAACTTTTCTCGGAGTACTCGCTCCTGTGTGTTTTGTGCCTGACTACATTGTGCTTGGGACTCACATCTTCATCTTCAGCTGTGAAATATGGACCTGTGGTCTTGTTCAAACACATGATCACTCCCACCATGTCTTTGCCGTTGAGGATGGGTGCAGCCAGAACACACTTGGTCTGGTAATCTGTGAGTTCATCGACGAATGAGCTGAAGTGCTGGCTCTAAAAAGGCAGAAAGCAGGCATAAAAAGTAATTTGCTATTATCATTAATTTAGCAAAACATCTTCTGGTATAACACGCTCTAAGGTTACACCCGCCGGGGCTCATATAAGAATGACAGAGGTTATAGCAGGGGTGATATTTTCTGATGGTGTTTTTTTAAACAGACCCAAATTTAAATATTGTAATGATCAGTTCTAGATTACTGCTGACTGCTGACTAAATGCCAGAGTCTAATCCACTGCTAAACCAAGACTGATGGGATCTGAAAATAAATGGATTATGTCTGACAAGAGGATTTACACACTCTCTTGGTCAAGTATACAGTAGCTACGAGTAGCTAACTGCTCTTCTACTTGTCCACAATCGACAGGCCTTTGGTCATAATTTAGAAAAGGGATTTGTGAGAAAGAAGCAGAGTCATTGTAGACACTGTTACTGTAAGCACGATTTCTTGAAATCTGAGCTGGATTTGTACTTGCTGATACAAAGCATATCTATCCTTGTCGATCCAACCATGAATTTTTAGATTGCTTCAATCTCATCCTCACAATAATTGATAGTTCTTCTCCTTTTGTAAAAAATATTTAACCAGATTATGCAGCAATGTCAGATATTATTCAAATGTTGTACCTTTTTTTTCACATTTGATACAATAGAACCCTTTCAGCATTTCAGGTATTACGAATATTTTTTAAAACTTTTTTCATGTGCATCTGTCATCTTTTCATTTGTAATATTACTTTTACAGCCTTGAGAAATAAGTCTTTCTTTTGCTTGAGGTCTGTTTTTTTAAAATGTAATCAAGATGTAAGAAATTTAATTTTTAGATATTCATAATAATCTATAGTGAAAAAAAAAAGATAGGTATTTGAATAGTCGTTAGAAAGAGTCATTCAAAAGTACAAAACTACTGTCTCCTGATATCAGGAATCTAATTATGCCATATATTGGCCGTTCATTCAGATAAAGCTTCATCATCGTAAGCTTAGCAATACCTCTCAGTGATGCAACATTTTGCTATGACTAACTGACAATTTTAAGCTCCCCACCCTCCTCCATGCTCTTTACCTCTTTGACATCTTTCACATTAACAGTCTTCTTTGTCAGGGCCACATTGCCAACTATTCCCAGATCCAGTGGGTAGACTATCTCTGAGTCTGGCGGCACCACGCAGTCCTCCAGCACCGAATCTGTGGTGACGTTGAAGAGCCTGGTGGCCAGCTCTCCGATGCCGTTCCGCTGCCGGTACATGAAAAGGCTGCAGCAGTCAGAATGGATGAGCGCACCCAGCCTTTTCAAGATCTTGAAGACAACTTTTTCCATGTTGATGCTCTCTTGCATATCTTTGATCAGGTCATACATTATTAGGCTTTCTTCAACCTTGAAAAAAAGAAACAATAACTTTTTTTTTGTGCTAAATCACACAGGAAAACACACGCTTGAATCATGTTAAAAACAAAAAGTTCCGTGGAGATGAAGTTTGTTTAATATTGTTCAGTATTGTGATTTTTACAATTAACAATTAAAAAAGCACATCAATTACCTGAGTGAGCTCTTGAAACTGACTGAAGTCCACTTGCTTCTCTGGAAGTCCTGAGATCTTCGCGATGGAAGAAGGGTTCATCTTCTTGGCATAGTACTTTTGAGCAAATGCCGGGTTCTCTTTAAGGAATTTTTCCACATCTTCCTTTTGCACACCCATGGCTCCTTCTTTTTCCTCTTCTCCCAGATATACCTTGTCTTCTCTATTTTCAGCTTACTGAAGGAGTTCCTCCGGGGTCCAATGCTGGCCTTTTGGAGCTACCTCCAACCTCTCCAACTAGAAATGAAATAGGCAACGCAACACTTAAAAAGAGACAACTCTTTTTGTCCACTTTAGTCTTTTAGGATAGAAACAGGCCTTACCCAGGTGTTACACGGTAAAGGAGGAAAAATAATTGGACACATTCAAACGCGGGTTAAAAAAAAATAATAATCCCCCCCCGTTAGAAAGGATGAGTGGACTGCAAGAGGGAGAGCCCTGAGTCCAAGGCAGAGGGCTGAATCTAAACAATCCCTTTGTCATCAGCAGATAGTGAAGGTTAGCAGGGATCTGCCTATGCTAAACTCATCAGCTGATCATGTAGTAATAGATATGTGGGCCAAAGGATCCAGCTCTCACTGTGCACCAGTACAGTCAGTACCTGTAAGGCACAGATCAAAATCTGAAACGACTACCTTAACTTTGTTCAGACACACATGTGCTGTGAAAAAATGTATACTGTAGTATTCAGTATAGTTGATATCAATTGATATAACGTTTTCTTGGGTGCTTCGTATTCATATTTAGTTAATCAGACTATCCTGGAGACCATTATTCTAGTCTTATCGAGTTTAACTAAAAGATTTTTTAAAAATCCATAATTCTCCATGAAAAGTGCAAAAGCAAGCACATAAAGACTTTAAGCATAAAGAGAAAAAAATCCAAATGCTTTAGCCCTCAGGAGGAAATTAATCCTTTCATTCAGACCTATGTGGCCCTGTCTATAATAAGGCTCCATAAACACATTAAACAAAAGGTCAAATTGATAATCTGCTTCCGCTATAATAGACTACGGCAGATCCAAATATGCGTGAGAGTGTATGTGTGACCTGTGTCATGGCTGCCAAGACTTACATTGTGGGAGTGTGATTTTATTACAGTGGACGAATAGAAAATAACCATAAACTATTGCTTTTTCAGATGTAAAAATGTATAATTTCTACAAAAAACATAAACGGCTTTGAAAATTTGAAACCCTCGTTACAGAGCACTATATTCTCACCCAAAACTGCCTTTTATAAAGCACAAAAAAGGAAAGCTGAGGAAGCTAAATAACTTAACCCAGAAAGACCTGTCTCTAATGGTCATTTTTAGAAGGCAGCCTCAAATTAATATACTTAATTCTTAAATTTGTAAATGACAATCTGAATATTTGTTACTGATGAGACGATATTAAATTATTTCCAACTGGAGTAATTCTGACCTAAACCAGAGGATGGCAGCAGACTGATACGTTAATACTCAAGTCCTGAAAAGGCTTCGAACACAATTTTTCTATAGATGTAGAGAAGAGTGATGATATGATCTATGTTTAAAGGTAATTTTTTTTTTTACAAAGGACACGATTTACTGACTCATCAGTCCCCTCATAAATTTAGGAATTTTCACACAGAAATGTGTCAAATTAAAGAAAGAATCTGAATCATTGAGTAAAGTATTTTTTTTTGCTGTAAGGGCCACTTTTTTGTCCATACTTTCCATTTAGACTGAAGCCCCATCCATGTAAAATGAGAGTTTACTGAATCAGTTACATTGTGTGATAATGATGTTAATCATGTGCTGTGGCCTTCACAAATCAGAAACCCGTTTAGCCCTGTTATGAGATTTCAGATTATCCCATTACCAAAACTGTTGTTTTCCATGACTTAATTTAGCCAACCCTGTTGGTATTTAGCAATCCCATTTTAAATGACTAAATTTTTCCCTTTCCTTTCAATTGTGGCTCTTCTGCTGCTGATAGTATATAAGAAGAAAAAATAGTTTGCAGTGCGATTGTCACAATATGATTGAGGACAGGGTTTGGGAACATGGAATAAAAAACACAGGGAACCAAGGAACATAGGAAAAACATGGGTTTATTTTAAAAACCTACCAAAAAAGTGCAACAGATTACAAGACCACGGCGAAACTTGAAGATACCAAACCAAAAAGTTAAAAGCCAAGAAATACCTGACACTGAAAACCACTGGAGGAAGCGATGAAGGCAGTGACACACGGCATTGTGGTTGTAGCATCCAGGGGTTTACCACAAGTATCTGACAAACAATTAACCTATTTGAGAATTTTGCATACCGTGAGATCATTAGTAGATGCAGAACAGGTGAGACAGAAAGCACAGATCCGGGGAGTTGAACTGAATGAGGCCCAGAGGACTGAAGAATATGAATGAAAGTGGAGGAGACACAGGGAAAAAGGAAACAACAGAACACAAAAACCAACCAGAACAAAATAACCAAAACACCATGAACCTATCAGTAATATGCACTCTCGGTCTTGGTCCAGTTGAAGCAGCTGATCTGAAATCTTTTCAGGACAAGCTGAATAAATTAAATCTCTACATTCTAAAAGTGTGCAGTCTATTGCATGGTATATTTAAGACCATCCCACTAGCTGTGATAGTAAAGCACTCAGAGCATCTCTAGAAACATTATTCTACATAGTGATTGGTCTTTAGTTTCTGCCTCTTTTTATTTAGACTGCTCCCTCTTTATTTATCTGTGTAAAAAGAGCAAACCCATCATGTATTTCTTTTCAGAAGTGCTGACAGTGTCCAGGTTTTCAAAGCATATCAAAAGCAGTTAAAGTAAAATGTTAGATTTTTTAAATTTGATGTATTTAATAGTTTAATTGCAAGGTCTATGAAAGCGAAAGACGTGTATCTGTTTTGTCATTGATCTATTTCAGGCTATGCAGGTAAGATTATTGCACTGCAGCACAGCCAGTGGAAAAAATAGATCTGTTGTCTCCATGGATTTTCTGTCTGAATCCAGACTGCTGGGACTGTTTAGTCTCTCTGTGTGGGGTTAGTCTGCAAACAGCAGATGTAAGAACTTTAAAAATAGCAAAAAAGGGGAAGAAAAATTAAGCGCAAGGTCACATAAAAAAGAGCACTGTCAAAGTATTATAAAAAGTGGATAGTTTTGGATAGAAGGCAATGATTTGTAATGATAGTAACATCAAATATTCAAGGTAAAAAGAGATCCCATGAAGGTGTCTTTGTGTAACTGCGTCAGTAAACGTGTGCTCACTTTGTGCCGAAAGGTTATCTAATTTACTACTTTTTTTTTCATTGTTATAAGTTTTCTCCTTGGACAGCACTGAGGTCCACAAAGGAAATACTCTTATTAATCTAATGATCCAACCGTAGGGTTATTTAGGTGAGTTTAAAATCTGGTTCTTAAAGGATTACACCCTGGTTGCTTAACCAAAAGACAACATTGTTAGGCAGTGCCTATTTGCTCAACCACCTGATGACTCTCAGGTGTACTCTCATGTCCCGAAACTGCACTCTACCCTGGGCCTAAGCTGTTCCTTTCCCCGTCATTCAGTCTGTAAGTTCCTGTTCTAAGAATGCACAAGCATCACCCTGCTATTATTTACTGCGTCACTCAAAGACTTCTCATCAACACTGTAAATATTGGTTTGTGAAGGTCAGAAATTCCACCGCAGACCTGGCAAAATTTTATCGTATGACAGCAGTCGTGCCACTTTTTGAAAATTGGTGGGCTTGGTAAGCTCTGTGAAGGGGGCTCTTTACACAATTGTGAGTTTGGCAAGTTCAGTGACATGTCTGTTGCATTTTACATCACACATTCTATCAAAGTAAATATTTGATGCACAACCGAGAGGTTTTTAAATGGAATAAATGTATTGTCCACTATTAATTTACGGTCACTAAAATTTTTAGTCTATCATATTTAATTGGCATAAGTATAACAAGATCATTGCAGACTTGATGTCATTATTTTAAGAACTGCCTTTCTTAGCAAAAATGATTTTTTCAACATAGATTTGTGACTTGATTTGTGGCTTTTTAGGGTCAGATCTTGTCCCACTTGCCTCCAGCAGGAAATCCATCCTGTGGCTGAAAGAACTTCAATGTGTTTGATTAATGTCCCACTTTTCACCAAAAAGTTTTGTCAGTTTAAAGACACAGTTGTTTTACTGTTTTAAATGGCATACCGTGTTGAAAACATGGATTACAATATAGCTGTCTAGCTTGTTTTCTTTTGTGGCTGCACATACTATGATTTTATAATACTGAATATTATAAGCAGTGTCAGAGTCTGGCAAAATGGCACGGTGCAAGGTATTTGTCTTAGGTTTTGTGACGTTTATCTGGTTTTATTGTTCTTTGGTTTTGATTTCATGCTCTTGTTTTATTTTATTTTCAAATTCTGTTCCTGTTCTCAGTAAGTCTCACTTTCCACTCTCCCCTCAAACCTGGGCCTAGCCTCTCACTGCCAAACCTGCATCGCTCCTTATTCCTCTCAGTATTTACCCTCCAAGTTTCACATCTATTGTGTTACTTGACTATTTCTGTTACGTTTTGTGTTGGACTTGGAGCAATATATTTGGGATTCCCCGCTTTTGCAGCAGTTTCTGTTTAATTCATAATACTTTCTTTTTCTTTTTGTCCCTGGTTCCGGAGATTGATCCCTCATTTGGTTTCTTTCCTTCCGACACTTTGAAAAACCCTTGTGTGTTTTGCACGTGTCTAAGAAACTGTTAATCTGCCTGCTCAGGTATACATGTGCCTGTTTTTCTGTGCTTCCAGTCAGTTACATAAAGGTCTGATTGTTTTTATAGTAAGTCTTGGGCGGGTTTGAACGGAGAAGCCTGATTACGGTAAGGATTTCAACCCAACAAGATTATCTCTAGATTTAAGCACCTTATTTAGTTCCAAGCAATGAAAATCAGCCGAAAGCTTGTCTGTTGGGCACATATATAAAGACAGCCTCTCATACAAGACCCAATCTGGTGGATAACCACATACAGAACTTTGATTTTAAGCAAAGTTGCTACTTCGACTGCAAGCAGGTAAGATGATGAGTTTGTTTTTGAGCAAATGACAATGTTATCATCATCTTAGAAAGAATTTCAGTAGTAATGGACAGAATTGAGTTTTCTACTTTTGTTGTGCTGTTTGTTAGTGTTGGAATGACGAACTCTATAGTGCTGGTACTGTATAAGGTGGAAGTAACTTGCTATTCAATTATGGGTTGAGTAAAAAAAAAAGGTCTACTTGATATGTTTTGCATTGCATTTCTCTAACAGAACAGATCATAAATTACAGTAAATCAGTGGTACATCTGTATTTTATGCATATTTGTCACTACTCACAACCCAAATGCGATTGTTCTTATTTTTACATTTGTCCTCAGAAACAGGTTAAAATCTATGTTCTGGTCTTCAGTGTGACAATGTCAGTGCACATGTTCATTTTAGAATGGAATCCTCCAAGCTGGCCCTGCTGCTGGTCTTCGTCTCCTGTGTGGAGCGTTGTTTTTCGGCCTCCTGTGTTGTTGACAGCTTCTCAGTCAAACCAGACTTTGACCCCAAAAGAGTGAGTTAATTGATGTACAGCAACTAACGTGCGCAGTGAAAACTGTTTTAAACGGCTCCTGCTGAAATCCTGGATTCCTTTCTGCTGTAGTATGCAGGGAAGTGGTATGCGCTGCAAAAGAAAGACCCGGAGGGACTGTTCCTGCAGGATAACATCTCAGCTGAGTACACCATCGATGATGATGGCTCCATGACAGCCTCCTCCAAGGGACGTGTCACTCTGTTCGGGTGAGTGAGGATATCAGGACAAGATCTAAGCAGCTCAATGATAGCTATGAGTCCACCAGGCTGAATAAGTACAAGTACAAATAAGTTGATTTTGGGAAACTTAGATTAAAGCTTTTGTCTACGTTTCAAAAAGATGCTAAGGACCAATACATGGTGCACCATGTGTTTTACAATCTGCTGCAGTAGGATTTCTTGGAATATTCTGATAATCATTAGCAACAAGGCATATTTTTCTTGGATTATGAAGGATTAGGAAAGAACTGGACTGAAAATAAGGCTTTTAGCATAATATCTGGGTTTAAATGCATTATTACAAACAAGTGAAAGAACTGCAGCAGCTTTCAGGAGTCTGGGTCATGTGCCTGTTGCAGAAAAAAACTGTTTTGTTAATGTAATGTGTGGATCACATTGTGCCATCTATCTGCAGCTTCTGGGTTGTTTGTGCTGACATGGCGGCTCAGTACTCTGTTCCTGACCCCACCAATCCTGGCAAGATGTTCATGAACTACCAGGGTCTTGCCAGCTACCTGTCAAGTGGAGGTACTTTTAACAAACATTTCCCCCTTGGTGTCCATGCTTTGGCCTTGGATTCTTCCTCATCCTCTCCCTCTCTATCCAACCAGGCGACAACTACTGGGTCATCGACACCGACTACGACAACTACGCCATCACATACGCCTGCCGCACCCTGAAAGACGATGGCAGCTGTGAGGATGGCTACGCCCTTATCTTCTCCAGGAACCCCAGAGGCCTGCCCCCCGCCATCCAGCGCGTCGTTCGCCAGAAACAGGAGGAAATCTGCATGGCCGGACAGTTCCAGCCCGTCCTGCAGTCCGGAGCCTGCTGAGAAAAGAAAGAGAGGGAAATGAAGAGTTGGATTGACTGTAGTCTAAGTGGTTTGACGGCAAGAAGAGGGAGAATGAGAGTGAACCCGTCTGTGTGTATGTGAGAGCAAGTGGACCTGTTTGAGTGATAGAGGTAAAAGAAAATGCAAAGAGATTATGAGAAAAAGACAAAACAAAGTGCAGGCAATAAAAATCACCTTTATCTGTTTCTTTCTTTTTTAAATTTGCCCATGTTTACCTGCCTCACTTATATGTACATCTGTCTGTCAAAGGTAAATGTTTCTGTTGAAGTGGAGGTTTTGGTGATTCTGTAAATCAAAATAAAAAAAATTTCTTAACAAAACATGTCTGAAAAATGTCCTTCATTGTTGTCAGGAATGTATTTAAAGCTTGATAGGAAACTACATTATTATTTCTACTATGATCTTTGGACTAAGTGGAAGAATTATTGTGAAAGATTTTTTTTTTTATATGGAGGAACATGCTTTGTAATTTCTCGGAATACAGTACCATTTTTTAAATTCTATTCTGAGTTAATTTTATTTATTTGTTGTAAAAGGAAGGCTGAGACTTTTAGAAATAAAGGTAGGCAGAGGATTGATATTTTGCCCCCCCAAAAATGGTGAAAGAACCTTTGTATTTTTTAGTCAGAACAATCAGTATTTGAGATTTTTTCTCCTTTGACACAATGTGGTCAAAGTACTGGAATTTTTGGATAAATGGGATGAGATGTTTTCCTGATTTTTTCCATTCCTTTTTCAACTACTGCTTAACCTTTACAGTGACTTACGAAGCACAGAAAGAACTATGGTTAGTGCTGGCAGTTGCTGGGTTAGGTTGTTTTTATTTTCATCCCCCTACAGCAACCTAAGTATAAATCAACTCCAGCTATGGAGAGAACACAAAGAAAGAGCTGAATATCTCATTCAAGCATGTCTTCTGAAAAAGCAACAGGTTTCCCTCCAAGGATGTCAGGAGAAGAGATATTTATTGTACTCCTATTGTACATCTTTCATCTTCTTTTCATCTTTCATCTTTCACTTTCTATTTGTGTTCTGATTGGGTTGGAATACAAAAACTACTAAGTTAATTTTAGGAGGAGATTGTCCGCTGGACAAGCTTTTTTGTATCAACTTAACAATTCAAACAATGACATGGGATGAGAACATTATATTATGCAAGCATTTTTACTTGCATGTTCAAACTTGATACTAATCCCTCTATTCTGACTCTTTGTAAGTAATGTCGTGGGGTCCTGTCATGTTAACAGTATGTGATTTTGTGGAGCGAGACCAGTCTGGGCACATGTAATGCCTCCAGGGCAGCTCAGAAGCATCAAAAGTAAGAAAGTCCACAATTGTCTTTGTTTTTTTCATGTGATTTTTTTTCAACGTTTAAACATAAAAGTTTTGTTTAATTTACAAAAAGCTCTACTTTGGTTTCCTCTATCCATTGTGTGCTATCCAAAATACATTATGATCAAACTTATTAAAACAATCTCACAACTTTGTCTTTATATATTTCAAACAGGGTATCACAATAATCCCTACACCTCCCATATTTCGGTGTATCTCACAGACCTGTTCTGTTTTTTCCAGGTCATCCTGAATCTCTCAGATGTCTGCTGCTTTTGAGTTCTAAAAGCACTTTTTGAAATCTTTTACTTTTATTATTAAAAAAACACAGAATAAAACACAGGGTAGTATATTTTCTACCTTGTTCAAAGATTTGTTTCTGCTTTTTCGATACCTCGGGACACTGTGTGCCCAACACACACAGTGATTACAATAATTCTGACCAGCAATTTTCTAAGGTACAAAAAACAGCCACAAAAACCTGTCATCAGTTCGAGCTTGAAAACGTGGTAACATGCTGAACTTTGGCCACACAAGTCAATAATCCCCTCTGAGCCCTGAAAAATGAAGCCAAACTCAACACAATATGTTCTAATAAGGTGTAATGGGCTTATCGGTGGTCTGAGGTTTAAGAACTCTTAGGCGAATTATACCAACTCAGCTGTTGGGTCACAGAGGTTGCTCCAGGGTCAGGGATCAAATGAGGACTTTTCTCTTCTTTGGATTGCACAGATACTTCCCCTAAAGTATATCAATCATAGATCAGAACCCCTACCCTCAAATAGCCATATTAGGAGTCTCCTTTGTGTTTTATTAGAAAAAAAATGGGTGGAGTAGACAGCCAGTTTGATTATGTAGCTGCAGCCTCTGATTATGTTGCACAGTAAGCTGAGACATAATCTGATTTTCCTACTTTGTAAAAACAAAAACATTAGAGTTATGAACACTTCCTAAGATTCTTGTTTTAATGTGATTCCAGTGTTTGTCATAACAGGTGAAGCGTGCTTAATTGAGTGTCAAGAGGATTTGGCCATTGCTCAATAGACTGTCAGTTTAATTCTTAATAATATTTTGTTGTTGACTCTCGCTGTGGCTTGTTGCAGAGACACGTTATTCAAAATATGTGTGACAGGATCAACAACGTCAGACATTGTCTGGGAGCGATGATGTAACAGGCTTGGTGTGGGAGAGTGGGAGCTTCAGGTAGTCGGTCTCTGAATCGTCTCACCTCCTATTGAACAAGTTGTTTGGCCAAACAAGGAATCAGGTCATCTGTAATTCTTTCATCATGCACTTCCAGACATTTTAAAGATAACTCCATAGTGGATAAGATCACTGGATCCGCCATAACCACAGTGGCTCCATGTCGTCGAGTGACTAATTAGTTTGGCTGAGATATTTCAAAAGAAGATCCAACATTTATTCTGATAGCTTTGGTTTAGTATTGTGATGCAGTTTTTTTCTTGGCTGATGCACACATTACTTCACATCTCACTTCCCACATCGTAACTAGGGCAGGTTAAACAAGGTTGACAGCATGGATACCAATACGGCTATGAAACTAGCCTTTTTAATCAGTAAATGATGAAGTCACAATCCAAGATGTGTAAGAACAATATTTGATATGATAATCACTTGTCAAAATTCATGCTCTATCAAGAAAACTCTTCATAATTCTGTGTGCTAAACTCTTCTGTTCAATCAACTATCTAATTACATCCCATGGTCTCCTGTAGCTGGCAAAGTACTTTTTTTTTTAATCGAAGCTTTAAAACCGAATTCTGCTTTGTCTGATCATCTATAGCTCCAGCACAAAAAAAAACACAAACAGATCTTTCTGGAGACATGCAGAGGATTAGCAAAACCTTTTATTGAAAGAGCAGTCAAAAAATTCAAAGAAAAGCTTTTTAAAGCTAAATTTGAGTAGTTTAAGTAAATGTTAGCACACTAGGAAATAAGTATGAACCTAGAACACCTTTTATTAGTTATACACTATGCTGGCATATATATGATATTGATTAATAAGTTCCCTCCACTTATCTGCTAAATAAATTTCAAACATGTGCTGTAGCACTTTGGTTTCAGCTATCTAGTTTGCTGGAGGAATAAAAGGAAAAAAATCAAACCTTTACTAAAGAGCCCACACCAGGAAACTTTTTTCTAAAATAACAAAACATTCATTGTCAAGTAATGCCCCCAAAAACGATCCTTTCAAAAAAGCTTATCATGAAGTTCATAATTAAAACAAGGGCTGTTTTACCATTATTATTTTTCTACTCTTTCTCTACAATTGTTTTGCTAGATAACAAATCAATGCAATTTCCTTTTAGGCTACAATCTTTACCTACAGCTTTTTTCTGTCTATTTCTTGGATTCCTCAATCTGCTCCACCTCACTGGACTCATCTACCACTTTGCCGTTGACCATGGTCTGGGTCACCACTTTCACGATTTTCCTGGTGCGGACGTCAGGCTCCTCTGCAGAAAAGAAATAAGATTTCTTGAAGTAAGTAGAGATGATAAAAGGCTAACGCTATGGGGAAACACATTTGAATATGAGTTTCAAATGACAAAATAAGGGTAAGACATGATCATGATATCTCTGAGATATGTCTGTGATGATATTTCTATATTCCAGTGAGAGAGTGGGAGATAAAAGCTAGTCAAACAAATTAAATTAAGAATTTAATTTCATAACAATAGGATCCTAATTCTTATATCTTCCATCCTGAAAGATCTTTAAATGATGTGGATATTTTCATTAAATGGCTACACAGGAAGTGTGAGTGTGAGTGTGTGTGTATGTGTGTGTGTGCGTTCAGTATCTACTAACAGTGTTTCTTTTGACTCAGACGAAAATCTTCCAAACAGTCTCCCCTTTGCTAACCAAGCAACATGAGTCAGTCTAATTGTGACACTCTTACGCCATAGAGACCATCACACTCACAGAGGTTGTTGCAGCCGCTCAGCTGTTAGCAGTGTTTACTTTGTTTGTGGTGTCATTAAAAACAGAAATCATTTGCTCTGGAATGTTCCAAAGAATATCCCCCGCCCCCTCTGCTTGTCTCCTGAGTTCAGTGTCGGGTTCATAAGAATTTAATTGTGATCAGTGATAAATTAAAAGTATAATTAATATAGATTAAAACAGCGCAAATAAACAATTACTCACTTTTAGGTGGAGGAGGAACTTCTTTGATTCTGATGGGTGGAGAAAAAAAGAACAGCAATATTTGTATATATATATGTATTTATATATATGTATGTATATACGCATATAGTTCAGTTGGGCAAAGACCAGGGGCAAATAAATATGTATTTGACTGTTTTCCTGTGAAGGTTTGTTGAAGCTTCCAGAGAAATTAGCATGCATCTTCAAAACTAAGAAATAGAAAAATACATTATTACATTGCTACTGTTTGACTCACGATTCCTCTCCCTCCAGCAAGCGCCTGTAGGTTGCTATCTCCATTTCCAAGTTCTGCTTTATGCGGAGCAGCTGCTCATAGTCGGTCTTGGTCCGCTGCATGTCCAGCCTGAGCTGAGAGAGGTCTTCCTCCAACTGGTTTAGCGTGGCCTGCAGCCGCTCCATCTCAGAAGAATACTTGTGACCTGTCTCACCCAGATTACCTTCCAGAGCAGCAATCTGAGGAGAAAAGGGAGAAATGAGTCACTTGATCCACATATTTTCAGCAGAGTGATTATAAGATATTACGGTCATCTTTGCTCATAACCATGATTGCGCAGTAGATTAGGAAGTCTGGGAAAACCTGGATCTTGCTACTCCACAGAAATGGGAGCGCACTGACTGAGTTGTAGCTGAATAGCGTGGTTCTACAGCATCCTCTCAGGTTTGCAATAGTTGAAATCAAACCTCAAGAATGTCTCTTGATTATGTAATTACCTCCAAGAACACCATGAGCAGACACCTGGGAACTAGTAGGGTCTTGGCAGCTGGTGCAAACACCCACTCTTCAGACATAGTTACTCACCTACCACTGCAACCCCAAAACTACTTAGCAACTGAATCCCTTATACCCTTGCATGTCTTATCAACCTCAGAAAACCTGTACACTGTAAACACAGGATTGCAAAAGGGTTATTCCAGACCATATAATACAGCTATGTGGAAACATGAGGTGAAGAGTCAGTATGACAATGTTCTTGGATATTGAATATTCAAATTTCTCTTTCATCCAACTCCACATTTCAGTGTGATGTTCTGAAAATTGAATGCTCATGACTTTCTTAAGTTAGGGTTCCCGTGTTTCTGAATTCAGAAAAGTTTAAAGTAAGAGCTGGTTTTCTAACTTGTGCGTACACAAGATAACCTCACTCACTCTACCAGCAATACGTGGTGCATTTCGCCTTTATTTTGCATTTCGCAACAGCTCACCTGTTTGTGGAGACTGTCCAGCTCCACCTCCAGAGTCTGCAGGAAGCGCTGCCTCTCGGTCAGCTCTCCCTGGGCTCCTCTCAGAGCCTCGTTGCTCTCCCTCACCTCGTTCTGCACCGTCTCCAGCTGGATGGTTTGTGAAAAGATTTTTTCCTGTATTGGTTTGGGCAGTACGGTCTGGATTTTCTTTGGAAAAGTACATGCAATGAACCTGACTCTTTCTGTCCCCCCACACCTTCTTGCGGTACCAGTGCTCCGCCTGCTCCTTGTTCTTCCGGACGATCCCTTCATACTGAGAGCGCAGCTCCGACAGCACCGTGCCCAGTTCCGGCCCGCTGGCTGAATCGACCTCCACGTTCACCTCATCCCGGGCGATGCGAGACCTCATCTGCTCCAGTTCCTACAGGAGTATGAACGGTTGCATTTGTTAGGTTCTGTTCACATGCAGTTAGCCGTCTTATTCAAAGTGACTGTGGCTCCATTGTGTGCCAACTTGGCCTTTTCTTGTGTGGAACCTACCACATAGAAAACACACCAATGCAAGCAGTCATCATATGAAACTGTAGAGAGTTTGGGAAACCTACACCTCAGAGGATGTGACCGCACTTTCATTATTTAGGAGTTCTTCACAAATAATTGATACACAAGAGCTCACATTACTATTGGCCTTTCAAACAACACCCACTGCCTCCTGCTCAGGTGAGCACAGCAGAGCTCCTTCACTCTCTCTCTCTCGCCTGTGATGTCGTTTTTCGTCCTATGCATTCATCTATGGGGTCTGTTAGTAATGGTAGTAATACACACTTTCTGTCAGAAAACATTGTCCTTTTCTGTAAGAAAAGCAAGAGATTATAGGAAGTTACTTGATCCAGTCCAGTTTACCCCAAGAGATAGTACTTTTAGGAAAATGCCTACATTGTTTGTATTACAATGCTGACATAGATTCCAGAGAAAACAAAGACGTGTCCAGAGTACAAACCCTAGTTTCATCAAATTACCCAAATCATTGGATTAAAGAATACTTGTAGGAGAATCCAATTAGTTCTGCATAGTCTTATTTCAGTACCTGGGAGAGCACTTTGTGATTTCTTGGGAAGTTACCTGTTTATCTTTCCCTGAATGGACACCATAGACCAGCTGATTGGACAGAAAGGGCATTTTTGAGCAACCAGATCTGCCACTTTTATGTCAATGCTAACCAGTGTTCCACCTCCATTGACATCCTTTTCCAACCAGTTTTGGTCCTAAAAGAACAACTGGCACCACTTAATTAGGTCAAACAGGCAGCGAACAGCGTGCTGTTTGTGAGGGAAGGCAAAAGGGTAAGAGAGAGGGCCAAAATGAAAACGAGACCAGTCACTTAGCTAAGTAAAGGCATCAACAGTTATTTAAAAACCATCAGTGTAAAAGATAAAGAATAAAACTGTGCTCAGTGTACCGGAGATAAGAGACCCACCTCCTCGTGGTTTTTCTTTAGAAAGTACAGCTCCTCTTTGAGGCTGTCCAAATCTCCTCTCAGTGAGGCGATGATCTGCTCATGATCAGTCTTTGCCTTTTTCAGGGCAACACAGTCCCGTTCCACAGACTGACACATCACCAGCTCAGTCTCCCACCTGGTAAAGTATAGAAAAGATGCATGGCAACATATCTAACAGACATTAAGTGACCTTAGTTTGGTTAGGAATGAAAATCATCATAATTTATCTTGATCTTTTAAATGCATTTGGTAATCAACTAAAAAAAGATTTGAATATAAATTAATATAGATTTTTTTTACATAAGAAACATTTATATATGACTTTTAATGTATTATATGTTGAGTGAATGTCAGCAAATACCTGTTTTTGTTGGCTAATGTGGATAGTTTTATTTAAAGGCTTTATTATGTCAAATAGGTAACATATTGATATCATCCATGGACATGAGACACTTATCAACAATACATAATTGTATATAGTTTTTAGACAACATTAATCAATCACTCACTTGATTCTGAAGTCATCAGCAGCAAGTTTAGCATTATCAATTTCTAACATCAGACGAGCATTTTCCAAGGTCTTCTTCCTCACCTGGCAAATATTAACATCAGTTAAACACCATTAAAGCCATCTTTAAAAGGATGTCTTAATCTCTTTGTGCGTTATGAAAATATGGCCACATAGTGTGTGCCAAGCATTACTTGCAGTAACATTTACTGCTAATGGTTAAAAGGGCCACGTGAGGAACATATTCCATTAAACTATAACTGTTTATGTCTCCAAAAGGAAAAATAATTATTAACTTTCTTTAGACTCCAATGGCTTCAAGTTAACTCAAAGATCAGACATAGTTGAAATTCTGTTCATGCAAAGAAGCATGCAGTCATTGTGAGTGTAATGATAGTTTTTTTTTACAGTGAATTTATCATCATCTTGAGCTTTGCTGATTGATTTCTGCTCGACCCAGACCAAGACATCTGGTTGAATAGAGCTGCGTCAGCGTTGGGCAAAAGGCATCTCCGTTCTCACCTCCTGCTCAACTGCATGCGCTTGGGCCATCATGGAATCAAGATCGTGGCCTTTGGGAATACGATCGATCATCACCTGCTTGATTTTCATCTCAAGGTCGGCATTGGAGCGTTCCAGTGAGCGCACCTTAAGGAAATAAAAAGAAGCAATGTGTTTCACAATTCTTTGAGAGCTGTCTTGTTTGTTTTTTGTGGAGTGGAGTGTTTTTTTTATCAGAACCTTGTCCAGGTAGTTGGCCAGACGCGTGTTCAGACTCTGCATGGCCTCCTTCTCGTTGGTGCTGTTGCCATGCAGCCCATTAAGCTGGAGGCCGTTGAGATCCTGGCTGATGGAGGCTGAACGGGTCAGCGGGCTGGCTGCAGCAAACGAGACCGAAGCCCGAGAGCGAGAGCGACCGGTGTCCATCAGGGAACGACTGGAAAAGGAGGGCTGACGATTCACAGCATAACTTCTCACTGAGATGCTGGAGGCCATGACGGGCGGCTGCAGGGACAGAAGAGACAATGACAGTTGAAAAGAAGAAAAGAACTGCACAAGGATTGTTCCATTATTGTTTCTCCTTTCTGTGAAGCAAGATAATTTTGTCAAAATTGCCACGTTTCTTTAAAAAGTGCATAGTTTGAAAGAAAAAGCAGGCCTTTTGACCTTTTCATGTCATTTAAAGCCAGTGTCATTTGATATCTGCTTATAGAAAAGCTTTTCTGTGCCCCTTAAGCAAATGTGCTTTATTCCTGCATTTGGCCAGCCTGTAATGGAAACACAAGTGGGTCTTAATGCTCAAGTCTGCTCATCACCCTCACCCTGATGAAAGGAGTCTTTCAATGAGTCTATGTGCAACCGGCTTGGGGCCATTCAAACTAACCATCTGCATTTAATAGATGACTGAATGAATGGTCAGAGGCACTTAAGTGTGCTGTTCATAGCGCTGTCCAAATAAGATTTCAACTCGAGCCAGCATTAAATCAAAACGTTAATGTTCACAGCTCAGCTACAGGTCAAAGATGAGCATCTCAGTGAGGCTGAGAACACTTTCATTTCCTTTTACTATGATAATAAGATGGATTTTACATTCAAGAAGAAGCTGTTCAGATAAACAGAAGCAGTGGAAGGAGAATACGACCAGCTTCATAACAGAGGCTTACTGAAGATCTTTAGTTCTGCATACATGAATAAAACCAATCACATATGTAATTACAATGTTATGAAAAGTATTTCATATCTTACTTCAGTTATCTGAGAGATGACAAATTTTCTGTTAGGAAAAAAACAAGTGTTTTCACAAAATCTCCCGGATTTCAAGCGTGACTAACTGCTGTTTGGATGTCAAACACAGAGCAAAACAGGGTAACATTGTCTTGGTAAGTGTGAGTGAATGTGTGTGTGTGCTTCTCTCAGTTGTGTGTCTGTGTGGAGGGTTACAGAGGCAAATTTGCGATCAAGGGAACCTCTCTGTATCTCTGTCACCTGATCCTCGCAACACCGTTCCCACAACACTACAAAGGGCCCAGCAGGAGACAGGCAGTCCTTGTTCAGATGAAAGATAGAGCTTGGGAAAATGATCTAGAAAATATTCTGAAGGAATTCCAGAGGCACAAGGAGAGACTTTGTACAGCAGGAAATGGATTGTCATTTCAGTTTTTGATATGATCACCTGCTCTGTTGACAGTGTTGACTGAAAATGAACAAAGTAGATAGCATGCTTGGGAAACGTTTCAGGGACATTTCTTTTAATCACGAACAAGATACCTGAAACAATTCATCTTTTTTTCAACAAATTCCAAATTCCCAAATATCACAGTTAATTAGGTAGCAAATAGAATAGTCAAACGTATATCAATGTATTGTTTTAAACAATATTTAAGCTGTCACAGATATTTTTAGCTGTCAAAGATAAACAATATAACAATTATGAAACAAATACACAATTATCTGTAAATATTCTTCTTACCAGAATGTTGTTCACTGAGTTCAGGTTGAAAGTAGAGGAAGGCAAAAGGCTCTGTGCTGCTGATGCTACAGGTGTGCTTATATGCAGGTGAGCAGGGAGGGGGAGGAGTTTCTCTCTATGAACGGTGTGTTTACTGCACCTCAGCTGAGTCTCGTAACCAGCCTTTCCACTTTACCTGTGCCGATAAGTTGCAAAATAAGCCACTTCAGTGTGCACTTTTAAAATGGGATGAGTTTTTATTTATTCCCAATCATTTTACCTTTACTTAAATACCATGAAAGTCTTGTCAACATTTCAATGATTAATTTTAGGAAATATATACATTCTGATTCTTAAGGCATTCTAAAACATCCAATATCATCAAAATATTCCAACTTTTGGCAACAAACCTGCAAATAGCCAAAGACTGAATGACCAAATCTAGGCTTCAGAATGGTAGTTAGATAGTGATACTTGATGGATTTGTGAGCTGCTTCTGTGGGTCATGGTGCAGACAGGAGCATCACCGAGATGCAGTTAGAGTCTCATATGCGCTCTTCACTTCTTTTAGCCAGTTTGGAGGATAAAATCAGGCTATTCAGTGGCAAACAGATAAATTCTTGATTCTTGTTTGCTGTGTGCCGCTGTATTGCTTAAAACATAAGCTTCATTTGAGAAGAATGGGCAAAATTATCGGATACTGAAAGTGTAAAATGGCTGAATCAAAATAACAATTTGATAAATTTGCATTTGCATTATCAATACCGCTTATTCCCTGATGGGGTCGCGGGGGGAACTGGAGCCTATCCCAGTGGTCAATTTGATAAATAACAACAAAATAATGGATAAGTGGCAACTGCTATTTTTTGTGTCCTCAGTGATCAACATACATCCCCTTCAGCTCTTCAGATATGCATCTGTCACGAAGTCGCTCATCTTGCTGTAAGTTGATCTGCTCCTACCTGCTGGTGCTTAAATATTCAACAAGTCACTCAAAGAAAGAAACCCTGCTGCTTTGAGTTGCTTTGTTCAAGCACACAGCAGTACAATTAGAAGTTACCACATTCTATTTGTGAACCTGTCATAGATTTTCTGAACATTTTACACCTTCACAAATGTTTGTGCCTATCTTTAGGACACAGGCTTATTCCCACACATCTCCCGTTCTGTTTGGCAGGTGAGTGGCATTGTGTGAACTTTTTCCATGCAAACGCTTAGATGGAAACACAGAGGAGACTGTGATATCTGTGAAGTGTGCGTTTCACATCATCATATTCAAATCTCAGGTCCACAGGTTAGCCGGTCCAAATTGCAAATGTTCCAATTTGCATTTTATCCCAAATTCTGTGCTTCACATCTTAAAGTTATACTTTATAAAGAATGTTAGATGACTGATTAAGTAAAAGGTATGAAAAGTTATAATGTAAAATTGAAAGTAGATGATTTCTTATTTAAGCCGATGATTAGGAAGGAAATGTCCAGACACATTGTTTTTTCCCATTACAAATGTAGTTCACTGCTGTGGCTGTAATCTACCTCCACTGTGTGGTGAGCACTGGTAAATACAAGAGAAACTGAATCCAACAAGAGGATTAGAAACCGTAATTCCCCAAAAGGGGGCAGCAACAAGCTTTTGTTTATCATTTTCACTAGATGTTTGGATGAGCTTTTCAAAGTGTGATTTTACCATTTACTAAGATTCAAATGAAAAACAAATGTATGTAAACCACAACAAGTTTAGCTGTTTTGGGGATTTCTTCATGATCAATTCCTGAATTATTGTTTTGTAACTTTTGAATTTTTTACTTGAGCACAAAATGTTTCCCACTCCTTATTTTGACATTTTTCCCCTTATTTATCTTTAGCGATCATGCAATTTTACCAATATGTGAAATCAAATCAGTGGGCATTAATATTTTGGAGACACAGTGCAGATATGGAAGATTCCTATTTTATGCTAAGATGTGCTTAATGCTCAAGTAGATATGAGATTCATATCCGAGTTTAGATCAATCATGGTCAAGTTGAACCTTCAATCAACCCCTCCTAGGCTTACTCTCACTTTCTCCCTCCTTCAGTCAGTGTAGAGCCGAGTTTGTCTGTTAAATAAATAAACAGGTGATTAGACGGCAGGATGTCAGGATACTACTCATGACCCCACTTGACTCCCCATGACCCCTGTCAGATGTGATCGTGTGACCACGGGTACAGAATTCACAACACAAAAGGGCAAAGGAATAAAAAAATTGGAAACAGTAAAATGAGCCTTGCAATTTCATACATTTGTGCTGACATTACAGTTATTTGGGGGGAAACTAGCCTCATGGAATGATGCACCTTTTAAGTTCTTAACAAAGACAAAATTGTGAGACCTGGTAGGACTTCAGCACAAAACTGCATGATGTCATAGTTTTAGTCATGTTATTCAAAGCCAGCAAAGATCAGAATAAGGACATTACAAAAATACTCAATTTAATGTTTTCAACGAGTTGTGAACATGACAAACACCTGTCAATGGCCTCAGCAGTAGTTTGCTGCCTGATTGCTTCCCGTCAACATTCTGCCGCTTTCCGGCGACCATTCAGGTTAGTTGGCCAGAAGCTCATGTTGGCCTCGGCTACGTGTGTCCAAGCAGGCAAAGCAGATTCCACCGCACAAATTCTTATTGTGTTTAGTCGTTGTATAAGAGTTTAATACTTGTACGGAAAAAGGTGGGGGTTGGCCAAATAACATATTAATAGGATGGCAGGGCAGCATTGTTTTATAAGTTTTAAAAAGCACTCAGTGAATTGAGGGTTGAAATATAGTGATGCACAGAGCAGACGGAGAGCCGTCCTGTACTTAGATATACAGCTGTGTGCGCGAGACCTTTGCTTTCATTTATCTGGAATCACGCAGCTCTGAATTCAACTGTTTTTAAAAGTATTTTTAAAAAATTGTGCTTGTATTCAACATTTTATTTACTGGATTATTTAACACAAGATTAATTTTTCACTTGGAAAAACACATTATCCAATAGTGTACTTGTATTAACAAAACCACAAATAATGTGGTTTAGTTTTAAAAACAGCTATTTGATTTAACCAGTAATCACACTTTGCCTTGCTGACCAAATCAAATGCCTTTAAATCAGTCCAGTTTTCGCTCTTTAATTCTCACTAGCAGGTTTAATGCTGCTCCAGTGCAGAGGCAGAAGACTGTGGTCATCTGAGCTCATGTGCACAAGTGTAAAAAGAGCTGCAGTGCATTTAACAGCTCTGCCATCTCATGTGGGAATAACGCCATAGTTGGACATTTTTCATATGAAAGACTGAGTTTGGATTTTTGCACAGAACTTTTTTGTTTGTGTTAAAGTTATAAGGCAAGCTATGCAGTTCAGTTGGATTTGGAATAAAAAATTAGGGAAGCAATTATTTGTTTACCAAAGTTGGCTTTCTTACAATGAATAATCGTATCATATAAACTTGAGAGTATTACTGAGCATATCTTAAAAAACAAAACTAGTAAAAAAAAATAAAAATAAAAGATGAATCTTTTGTTCCTGTTCTGTGCTTTCACAGTCTTTGTTTTTCTTTGACCTTATTTCTCATACTACCCCATCACAAGTTTTAATCTGAGGTACCTAATTAAAGCACATTCATTATTCCATCAGGTTAAGGAATTTAAAGCCTTGATTCCCCTCCCCGATTTGGATTGATGTTCACTGGGCCCCGAGTCAGTGTTTGATGGGCAGACTTCAGTCCACCGTTCCCTTTCTGATGAGAGGATAACAATCTACAGTGGAGAAATTACACACAGATAAAGACATATGTGAGCAACTCCGGAGGCCAGCACCTGCACATGCTCGCTGAACCCTCTTTTTTTCCCTCCTTGGTTTGGGTTTTCCTCCCCCCTGCCTGAGTGCAGGTTGCTTTTGTGTGACGGAAACACGTCAGACCACTCAGTGTGTGCGTTCAGATTTCTATCAGTAGGGTTGGTAATATTTAAGATACTGATCTATATACATAGCTGATGACTGTATGAAAAGTTGAAAGGGAAAAAAGACTTTTTGTGTGTCCCCATGAGTGTGTGTGTGTGTGTGTTAGCCCTTTTTTAAGAGGGGAAACTTGGCTAAGAGAGCAGTTTTATCCTGTACATGACCTGGGGAAATAGCAACAGAAGGAAGCAGGGCAGAACCTTTGGGAATTTTTTAGTGGTGCCACCAAAGCTGAACTACTGTGCACGTTATGCAAATGTATTGTTTTGCTTACTGGCACAATAGTTCTACCTTTTTCTGAAACCTATCACTGTCAGGGTTTAAACTGCTCATGTCGCTCTTCAAGTTGCATTACATTCAGGGCAAAGTGAACATCGAATTAGCTTCTTATCTGCTTTGTTGTATTTATTTTCCTACTAGGACAAGCATTCTAAAAAAATAAATATAATTTTTTTTAAGAAGAAAGAAATATGTGATGACAGCTGTAGGGTTTTTTGCTAAGGCTGTCATAAAAATGTATCCATAAAAAGACCCAAAGAAGAATATCAGTACATTAAAAAAAAAATCTGAATTGGCACTGATATTCTGGTCATTGACAGATTTATGATTCATGACAGATTCAAATACTTAAGCCTTCAATAAAACACGTTGTTGTTTCTTTTATTGAGCCTTAATGCAAGACATCTAGCATTAAGGCCCTCCCTGAGAGATAATTGGACTCCTGCTTTCTTAAGGTCCCTTCACCCAGACATGCTCATTTCCAACATTCTCATGGGTCAGCTGATTGGTTAAAACTAACAAAATGCTAGACAGCTGCTGGAAATGTGCTTAAAGCATGTCAAACTACCTACAAGGCAGGCTTTAAGCAAACGCTGCAAAGCTCGTATTAAAAAGATAGAAGAATCTTTTTAGAAGAGTCTGTCTAAACTACGTTGTCTCTCTTTGTCAGACACATTTGCCATCTTTACATTATGTAGAAGTAAACCATTTCTTTAGACATGAATATACTTACTGAAGCAAGGAAATCCCAGTCCACTGCCAGGGTGTTTCCTGAAGGGGCTATAGTGTATTCAGAACCCATTTGTCAGGTAGAATCAGGGTTACTGAAGGCTGTGTCTGATGAGCACAACTTTGGGAGATAACCAGACAGCAGATGTCAGCCCCGGCTGACACACAGAACAACTCTCAGCAGCAGTGTGAGCGGGCAGCCAGCTTTCTTAAAGATGGTAAAATTAGCATTTTTTCCTGGACGTTGGTTGCTGCTGTCAGTTGCCTCCATGTCAGTTGACCGTTTTTTTTTTTTTTTATGCTAAGCTAGGTTTAGTGTTTTCGTGTAGGGTGTAGCTGGACAATATTTCTCATCCGTGGCTGCAATGTGCATTCTAATCCGTGAAAAGAGGTCCCTCAGCTGAATCGTACTACCTACCAAGCCTTTCAGGTCCAATAGATAGAACCTGTGACATTTTTTTTTTAAACTGGAAGTTTATAACCATGAGAATGACAACGAGAAGGTACACAGGGCAATAACGACACCTCTCTATGATCCATAATGTGACTCTTGGATGTTTGTTTTGAGGAAAAGAACTCAGAATCCAATGTTGTTCAGCTTTTCTCTATTCAGTCCCATTAACTGCTGGCAGCACGCTTGTTTTTCCGTTGTTGAGAGAAGCCCTTTCATATTCATATGTTTTGATGTCTGCACTCGTGTGTGTATGTTTCCACAGATTATTTCATAGAAAGTCTGTTCCAGAACAAAGCTGAGGGCTTCAGATTAAACTAAAGCAATCATAGCAGAATTAAAGAGGAAAAATGCAGTGTTAACTCAGTCCTAATGAATAACTGTAAATATTACACACATCCCGTGAAGATTAATTACTGATTTTAAACCAAAATTAAAAGAAATAGGTTTTAAAGAGGCGCTTGCGCTGTAAAGCAAGCTGAAGGAAAACACACACCATTCATGCTGATTTAGTCTCGTGTAAATCCAACCTAAATAGGTTTTATATCAAATTAATCATTGAAATCTGAGGCCTTTGTCACAGTAAATACAAAAATTACATCTGCACGACACTGGGGCAAAAAACTTTAAATACAGTTAATTAGGCAAAGTAAAAGCAAAAAATTATATTTGGATTACATCAACTTTTCCTTTTTTTTTTTGCAATATATTAGCAATTAGCCTAACCTGTACCTGATTAAAATTAGCACTCCTTCGTAGTTAAAGGGCTTGTCCTACTAGATATTTCTGTGTCAGTTTGAACAACAGGAAAGGAAAGAGTATTTCTGTTAGCACTGGCAAATCAACATGATATATTTCACAGCTTCTTGCTTGACATAAGTTGTTGATCAATATGCCCAGTGTGTGCGATGAATATGCACAAGGCGTCCGCCGCTGCGGCCCGGTAATTGCCGGTCGTCAGGGGTGGCAGGCATGGTAATTTGCATCTTGGGGATCCTGCAATCAGCGTTCTATTCATTACCGTGCCAGCCGCTTCATCTGCTGGCCACTCAGAGCTGCCAATCTCCTCTCAGCAGCCAAAGCATTTGGGGGGGGGTGGAAAAAAAAAAGAAAAGAATAGAAAAGTTTCAATTATAAGCCAAGGCTTTGCGTAGTGGTGTAACAAGTCTTAAACCCTATATTTAGGCTGCTTTATGCAGGTGATTGACTGTTATTGCATTGTGAAAGGGAACTGGTTAGAGAGCTCAATGAAACAACCATGATCTCTCGCGTTTTGTGCTGCCTTTATCTGTGGGTGACTGTCTGCATTCACAGTGGAGGACAGAGGCTGCCGCTTCTTTGCCCGTCTGAAGTGGGTTTTCCATCCAGGCAGAGGGGAGAAGGGTCACAAGAAAAATAAAGCTTACAATAAGTAAGCTCTGTAGTTCTATAGGTCAATGTACAACAGCAGTACAAACGGTGAGCGGGCGATAGGGCAGTGCAAACCACACAGGAAATCTATCATTCCCTTTGTGAGAAAAACATAGTGATATCCCTGGCGCATTAAGCAAAGGATGTTTGCTGGTATAAGGAATGACGCACACCTCTGACTTTCATCTCTCTCCTCTCAGAAAGCTCATAAATAATCGTGACAGTTATGTGGACACACTCCTCATTTTTATATCATGTATCCCGTCTCTGCTCTGAGCCTTTTTTTTTTTCAAAGAGGACCTTTAAAAAGAGGATGCACGACTACCGCCGCTTCATGCTGGTGACTTTTGAGTCCAGGAAGATGTCTCGATGCATGTGTGTGAATGTGTGTGTCTGGATGTGTTTGTTTCTGACGGCATGGCTGCAGGAAGGGAGTTCCTTGTGAGAGAAACAGAGGGGATCAGTGGCAAGTTAGCGCCAAAATAGTTGTCTGTGTATGCGTGTGTGTGTGGGTATGTATGTGTGGGTGTGTGTGTGTGTGTGTGTGTGTGTGTGTGTGTGTGTGTGTGGGTGGGTAGGTGTGTACGTGTGCTTGCAGCGGCACAGTGAATCTTCTATTGTTTTAGAGTGACAAAGTTGCTGTTTCCTGATCATAAATCGACACGTTCACACACAAACGCGTTTAGTTGTCATATTAAATAGATTATTAGCAAAAACACAATTCTCACGTGCTCATACAATCCACACAAATCTTTGCACTTTCTGATAATGCAAAATTAGCACATATAAGCAAATGAACATCAAAACATGCAGGGATTTATTCACAAACAAGAGCATATACTTGTCTCTGTGCACACGGCTCCTTCGCCCTGCCATTGTCTTGAAAAGGAAGCCTGAAAAAAAAGGAAGAAGTAGAACCTTGTACTCAGCTGGACGAGAAAATGTGGCAGCGGGGGTCAGGGGATGAGTTAAGATGGGAGCTTGGGGTTAAGGTTAGAGGGTTAAAAACTGGGGGGGAAAAAAAAGAAACACAGGTCAGATTTTTTTGCTGCCAATGCAGGTCTTCTCCATCAGAAAGCATCAACTAGCCGAAACAGTTTTATGTCAATAAACTTTACAAAGACGAAAAACGATGAAAGACAGGGCAAAGAACTACTGAGTCTCCTGGTAGGAATCCCACATGGTCCCCTCTGGAGAAAAAAAACATAATATTGTCAAATCGTGTTTAAACCGAATGTAACTTTTGTGGCCCATATGTTTATTATGAGATTCTGCAAGGAACAAAAAAAAACTTTCAGTGTCACAGTATATATAACAGAGCTTAGTAATGTCTCTCATCCACACACACTGTACATACAAACACACACACACACAAAGCGTGTGAGGTACTGATGGCCCTATAATAGTGTCTGCTTACCGGATTGAGATAGTTTCACTGGAATTGAGCCCCTTAAATGATTAAAGCCACCACATCAACATGTGTGTGAAAAAACCTGTGTGTGATTGATACATTATTTATATCAGCATAACTACCTAACACACACTGTACTTGATATATACAGCCTGAAACAAATAAAACAGCGCCCCAATTAAAATATATTTTATGGAAAGCTTTATTGCTTCAGGAGGGGAAAAATAAAAATCTGCCTATTCCCTTTAAAACACAATTTTGTGTAACTGCAAACAGAGTAATTTAGCGCAAGCAGACTACCAATGTTTTCTTTTTTAATGAGTTTTTAATGTATATATACATATATATTTGAATGTGAAATAGACAAGCCATGGGTGAATGCTGGGGAGTCAGGGTTGGTATAAAGGATAAGATAGAAATCAGATCAGGATAAAATCAGACTTAACACGAGAGATGTTCTAGTTTGTCTGACTTGTATGTGTGATATCAAATAACAACCCAAAGATCCCAGTCATTTTCCTCTTCTGAAATGGCCAAAAATTGCTCCTGTGTGTGCTTTTGAAATAGTTCTTACAATCACTTTTCCTGTGGAGTTCTGTCTCAGATTTACTTTAAGGGTCCTCCAGAAAAACCAATATCATAATTTCAGGCCTTGACACTCACAGATGCTGCAGAAGAAACTTCCTCCCTAAAGGATTAAGGGTGTTCTGGCATTGTTTATTTTGGAATATAAATCTATAGAATGCATACTAAAATTATACATATATCTTGAAATCTATGGAAATAGGAAGCACATTAGAAAAAAACTGGGGTGCCAGTTATTCAATATTTGAGACTTTATCCTTTTAATCCCTCAAATTCTCATTCATTCGGTGGCAATAATTTCCATGAAAATGTAAGTTACTTTAACTAATGGAAACATCAGCAGAGCTTAGGTTTAGGGTTTGTGAATTAACTTCTATTTACTTTTTTCTATTATGAAATTCCATTATCAGCGGCTCTTGACACATAATACTAATTCGCATTTGTTTGCATGCTGAAGGAATGTAACAAGAGACTTAATTGCTCTAATCACAAGCATTGTGGCTGTTTAGTTATGAGTGTTTAGATCAGCACTTCAATGCTTTTTCTCTAAGGATCAGTGTAGTGTCTTGAATGCTGGTGCACACTTTTCTTGTGTATGTTTATCCTTTTCTCAACCTACTCATGGTTTAACCAGTGGTACAGTCTCATTTGACTGGATAAACATACAGCTTTTCTTCCAATTAAACAGGATTATAATTGTGTTTTTATCATGCATTTAATTCAAAACAAGTTTACAATTCTTAAACCTTAAAACAATTAACTGAATTTCCACTTCTTTATGAGATAGTTATACTCTGGGGTTCATACCAAAGCATGTAGATAAAAGTTGTCAAATGACTGCCAATATTTATTTATTTCAATTTGGGAACACAGCTCTCTGATAAAGATTTGATAAACACATTTTAAACACATTTAAGGATATATGTGTTTGTTCCAAACACATATATCCTTATATGTATACATACCAGGATTTGTATCAAAAGTTTAAAAGTTGTTTTTATTCATTTAAAAGATAGTGTATAATATTAATTTAAAATATTTGATTTGAATTTATCATAGTATTTAGTTTATCCCAGACTAAGAAGGTATTTATAGATATTTTGAATGAATTAATTGTTATTGCTTGCAGCTCTGTTTTTTATCTTTTTACTCAATCCCAGCACGTTGTTAGTGAAACCCCAAATTAAGAGCAATTCCCATTCCTCACTGAAAGAAC